TCATAATCTTGTATTTTTAATCAGAATCCAAAAAGAAAACACACTTTTAACAAAGCTATTTTTTTTCTTATGACTTCTATAATTTGCACCTAAAATGTACACAGCTTGTTCTTATCCTGTGTGTTTTGATTGGATGTGTTTTGAACCAAAACGCTCCTCTATAGTTTTGTTAATGTATATAGTCCCTGATTACAGAAATATGTTTTTCATGTATGTTTTGTAGTCCCAAGCACCTTCCAGCTGTCTCAAGTTTTCAGATCCGTAAAGGGGCAATCCAAGCAACAGTATTCACGGCTGCTTATTGCAGTGTTTATGGGTGAATTTGTATGGGTAAGCAGAATTAGACCACCCATATTGCTGTGAACTCTGTAAAGAGTGTAAGTCGATTCGGTGCCAGCAGTTAACAGCAGCTCAGTGTGGCTGAATCCTGCTTATCCATACAAGTATTTTTGAAAACATAATGAGGAAACTGGCACCTTCTAATATTAAGTCCCAAGCCGAGGAGGTATGCTTTGTGTGCAAGGAAGCTACCAGTTTTTATCAAAACCTTTGCACTGTAATAACTGGGGAATAGGACTTAAAATATCAATACTTGAAGGGACACTGTAGTCCCAGTCCCCTTAACCCTGCATAGGTAATTATTACAGTTTTTGAGAAACTGCACTTATTATCTTGGAGGGTTAACTCCGCCTCTAGTGGCTGTCTACCACTAGAGGGACTTCCGGGTGGTTAGACGACTTTTGGTCATCTGACGGTGTACGTCCTCGCGCTATGCTTGAGGACATCCAGCCAGCATCACCCAAAGAACCATAGTAAAGCCTTATACAATGCTTTCCTATGGGGGAAGTCCTAATGTGAGCCTGGCGATCGCCACACATGCACATTAGGTCTCCCTGTGGGCTGAAGTTGGTGGAGGAGAGTGGAGATGGAGCCTGAACCAGCATGAAGGGACATCGTCACTGGAATCAGGGTTTATTTATTTATTTTCTTTAACCTAAATAAGGTTTTCTCCAAATCTATACATTTGCTTGCACAATGTACAAGTGAAATACCATACTCTTCCAAAAGATCATAAGTAATTTGATCATCTTTAAAGGTGTGTTCACATCATGTCAATGTGTTTAGATGTATGGTTTTATTTGTGTGCATTGAATGAAAATGCTGTGATGTATTTGTGTAAAAGCAGCCATTCGCCGGTTTTAGTTCACTTTCGTTCTTCCCTTTCTCTCCACTTTGCAAGTAGTAGTAGTTCATACTCCCCTTTGCATCACCTTCCCATTGCAAGTAGAAGTAGCGCTATCTCCACTCCATCTCTCATTACCAGTAATTTTAACATACTCCAGCTACACGTAACTTGCAATGACGTCCTGTATAGTTACAGCAATCTGCAAAATACAAGAGTGAAAGTTTTGACCCCTGCACTACAAATAAACTTCAGCGTTCTCTTGCTTGGGTGTGACCCATAAAGCTGTTCAGCGTATGTCCTACTTTTCTTTTACAAAAAAATTGCAGATTTAAGTAGAAATTGGCACTTTTATCAATGAATGTGGTTACACCCCCTTGCTGTCAATCAGACAACAGGTCCTGTTACTTCCTGGTTTGGTTAACTCAGTGGAGATAAACCCAAGAGGTAGCAAATGCCCATGGCACCTGCCTTGCAAAGACTTCTCATTGAGATGCATTGAGAAGTTTGTGATTGGACAGCTTTAGAAAGTCTTAGATGGGGAAACAGGGAATGGCTTGCAAAGGCTGCAGACCTGAGAGCTGATGCGCATGTGTGGTGAATGCCACACTGTCATCCAAATGCTAGTTTCTTAGAAGTTCTTGCAGAAGCACCTCTTGTGGTTGTCTGGAAGATTGCCACTAGAGGTTTGTAACTACTAAAACTACAGGGCAGCTGCACCCAGTCCATTTATTGAGATTAAGTCATCTGATTGCCTTTAGTGGTCCTTTAATTATTTTAATAGGGATGCCTCTACAACTGTGAGCATGGAATTTTATTAGTGCTAGTGTCTGATGCAAGCATTGGTTTTCAGCAATGGGCGAAAAAAAATAAAAACGATCAGACTAAATATTTCAACAAATCTGTTGCCCTAACACATGTAACTAAATCTAAAAGGGTTTTATATAGATACCGAGGTTACCACCATCAGTTTAGAAAAAGAACTGAATTAACTTTCTAAATAAAGCTGCAGCTCAGAGGCACTGGACAAAGTTCAGATTGTGACTAAACTTTCCAGTATACTACGCAATGCTCCTAAAGATTATATTTTCAGCTCCGTGAATTCCTGAACAGTGACATATCAGCTGACTAAAGTGTAGTGACTGTCACAACCCACACTCCACCTTTCTGCTTATGTCAGACATACACTGGCCCTGTCATGTGCAATCATGCATGTCTAGTCAGTATAAGATCTCTCTCTCATTTGTCAAGTATGTCGGTGGTAAGCGGACTGTTTTAGAAGGTATAAAATAAGGCTTAGAGGAGATTTGTCATTTGTAAATACTTAATCATTAGAGCATAAACGCCTGTCTGTTATCGTTATCGTCTTAATAATAATATTTTAGTTGACTTACATGAATTCTCCTAGGACCATAACAACTGCAGCCCACTGTAGTGGTTATAGTACCAGAAGTGCCCTGACATAGAAGTTAACGTGCCTGGAGTCTGCTGGTCACCTCCTCCTCTGGAGTCCGTTTTAACCTGGGAATAAAAAGCTCGAGGGCATTAGAAGCTAATTTCAAACCGAGAATAAGAAACTATACTAAAGATTGGGAAGCGGTAATCCGTAAATAACTTGCCACAGACATGTTAAACAAATCTAATTATTTAGTGGGATAAATATATCACGTATATAATTTTCAGAGAACATTTAGACTATGCCTCCACTCAAATGTGCCATTTCCTATTTGAATACAAATTGTGTTCCTGTGTATAAATCGCAGAACACAGTACACTCCGACATGTACTTTTCTGATATATGCTTCATGTATTTCGTAACGTTTAAAACCTGATTCATCGTTGTAGAAGGTGTGAAAAGCAAGGCATACTTGTTGCTGATGTATAAATGTGTGGGTAGATCAGGAAGCCATAAATACTGACCATATATAGGCAGTGGGAAGTTCTTGGTTTTGCTACACTACTTCAGTTAATCTAACATGTATACTGCATATACCTTGGATAAATAATTCTAACTTGTACTCAGGTGGAGCTAAGTGCAGTAAGGTTGTATTCTTTAGATATAGGGGTGCAGCAGTGAATCCCCTAACTCTGCTAGTATTTATAATCCAGTTCAGACATTTATTTGAGCTAATTTTCTCAATCCACAAACTACATTTGTTGTTTTCAAGACTAATCAAGGAATGCATATTAATGCTGACATATATATATATATATATATACACACACACACGTTGCAAGTTTTGTCACATTGTCTTATCATAGCCAAATGTTGCACTCCAGGGTCATGTTTACAGCTAAGCAGATACTTTCCAATTTGTAGTAGATTACCTTAGTGGCTCCAGGTTTGATAAGTGAATAAAACTGTCCATTTTCTAAAATGCTAGTATGTACATAGAGCATGTGTATATTCTATTAGAAATGTATGTCCATAGTTATGTACTGCAAAAACCCAACAAATTCTATATTATTCCATAATCGGCTTGCACTCATGGGAGTCAAAATACTTGTGTGCCTGGTGCTGTAACCCACAGTACTTCGTAAAACAGATCCATTCATGGATCTTTACCTAGCTTTTATTTCAATATCAACATTACAGTTTAAAATTATAAACATATATGTAAAAAATTATGACTGGACCATTTTGTCAGCTCAGAGCATATGTCCCCATAAATCCGCAGTTCAGGTTTTGTCAGTATTTCCATTGGAATAAAAAAGAGAAATACATAAATTCTCTACTGTTGCTGGTTTGGGAACCACTAGGTTAAACTGTTCACCTTTTTTTTTTTTTTTCTCTACTTTTTTTTTTTTTGTAAATCTGCAGACAATATATCCCCAGGTTTAAGTTCTACGCATTGTATAACTGGCCAGGTCAGTGCAATGCTTCTCATTCCATACTATGGAATCTGCACCATTGAACGTGTTTAAGCCAGCACTGCAAGGATTGAAGTTAGATTAGGCACTAACTGTTTAACTCTCTCTTTGCATGCATTAGAAACTGGACCTCACTCGACTACACAGATACCTTGGGCCTGTTTTTAAAAAAAAATATTTTTCTCTCTCTCTCTCCCCCTCTCTCTCTCTCTCCCCCTCTCTCTCTCTCCCCCTCTCTCTCTCTCTCACCTCTCTCTCTCTCTCCCCTCTCTCTCTCTCTCCCCCTCTCTCTCTCCCTCCTCCTCCCCCCCTCTCTCCCCTCTCTCTCTCCCCTCTCTCCCCCTCTCTCCCCTCTCCCCTCTCTCCTCCCCTCTCTCTCTCCCCCTCTCTCCCCATCCATCAATTATTAACGTTCACCTCACCAGTCTTGGCATCATGGAATAGGGAGGAGCTTTCTGTCCCTCCACATTGCCCAGTCTATTTATTATTATTATTATTATTATTATAGAGCGTCAACAAATTTTATAGCGCTGTACAATAGGTGGACTAACAGACATGTAATTGCAACAAGACGAGCTGGACGCACAGGAACCAAGGGTATTGAGGGCCCTGCTCAAACAAGCTTACATTCTATTTATTCACCCAAAACGTTCTTTATTCTGGGGTCTAGACACGCTGCATCTTGGGTCAATTTGTAGAAAAAATGGTGAGAGAAGTGCTTAGAATTTTGTCTTTCTAGCACTCTGAGTGTTTCAAAGAGGTTATTGTTCTTACTCCGAACACCGCCTTAAGGGTTAAGTATGTTCCTGTCACTTGCTGCAGTGTGAGTCAGCCCCTGGCCCAGGGGGGTGAGCTCAATGGGGTCAGTGTCTGGCTGCAGTCTGGGACACGTGTGCATGGGAGCAGCCCACTGGGTGGAACCTTTTGGAATTCCCAATGCGAACAGCTGTAGTGAGCCCAGTATTCCAGTGAGCTGGTGATGGAACACGCTCACTGCTAGATCTCCTAGGACAAGGACCGGCTTTGTGCCTGGAGAGCTGTATCTGAATTCTTCCCCATTTCTCTTTACAAGCCACAGGTCAGTGAGCTTTAAACCAATTGAATGGCTAGATAGAGCGGCAATATTTGTATGAACATTCTGTCTGATCACTACGGCTTGAGTGCACACCCAGAATGCCAAATTCCCTGCCTTTCTACAGTGTGTATGTACGCCTAAGGAAAGACATGTGACTGCTAGATCAGAACAGTGTGTGCTGAGGCCTTGTGTATTTTTGTGTTCAGATGCTCTTGGGTTTGTTCACTAAACTGAGAATTTTGGAGAATTGACAAGGAAATTATAATTTTTTTTTTTTTTAAGGCAAACGGGAGGTTCTCTAATGCTCCTGGGCTTTATTCACTGAAATAGGAAATGTGGAGAATTTAAAGAGGATTTCACATTTTAGTTGAAAGTAACCGTATTAAAAACATTCTCCAACATGGCTGTTAAACGTTTCGACCCCTTGGGGGTTTATTCACTAGATCAGGGGTTGGTAGCCTTTGAGCAGTATGGTGCCAAAACAATACTTTGAAGTCCCTTTGCATGCTGGTCCTATTTATTTATTTTTTAAACTAACGTGTGTGTGTGCACGCGTCGCTTGTGTTATGCTGCAGCTGCTTTTTTAGGGTTGTATTTGTGCATATGTGGGCTGTTTTGTAATGTGTGTGTGTGTGAGAGCAGTTGCTGTATTCGGGGTACCTTTCCAATGCATACTGCTAAAACACACATTAACACAATGCTAAACACACAAACAAGCTGTTAGATTCACAGACACTGCTACTCACACACACAATGCTAAACACACAAACAAACTGCAAGACTCACACCCATTGGCAATGTTGTCATTTGTTGCCACCCTCCACTTTGATTATCATTTGGTGGCAGGAGATTGGCTTTACTAGGGTCCAGTGGGGACCAGGCTGGCCAGGTACAATTCAAGACCAGTGTTTTTGTGGACTTCTATCCTCACGCACAGTTTCTTCTTCACAAATCCTGGTAGGAAGTGATCTCAGATCAGTTCCTACCAGTGCAGCCTCGAGAGATTTTGAGGTCTGCCCCTCAACACCTGCTGCAATCAGGTGTTAGTAAATATCTAAAGAAGTCCGACTGGGACCTCTGTCAGGCCAGCCCCATGAGAGATCCTCAGATCTCTACAAACTTTTTAATAGGTCTGGCAGCCATGTGTTGCATGCAAAGGCAACTCCACCATAGGTTGCTGACCCCTGGATCCCTGCTAGATTTTGAATAAAAAAGTAAATGTCAAGATTTACAGATTGGTACATTTTGCAATTCTGATTTGAATTTGCTGACATTTTTGAATTTAGCGAATAGCCTTCTTTGTTAAATCGCCACACATTCTTGGATAGTGACTGTCAAGAGCGTGGGCTATTGGCCCATGCGAGACAGTGGGGAGAGTGTGGAAGTAAAAGGGTTAACGACACCAGGCCCCTGGTTACCTGTTGCTAGTCCCAGTAACCACTATATTAACCCCTGCAATCCCTTTTACACCAATACCCTAGTACACACTTTACTGCCACCACCAAGACTTTATAACCTTACTTAACTGATCAGACATATATAATTAACCCTTTTTGGTAATGTGTTTACCTGAGCTTTCCTCAGAAGAGTGAGCTCATAGAGAACAATTAAGTAAACATTTAATCTGACAAAAAGAATTCACAGTGCTGGGTACATAAATACAGAAACACAGATAACAAATTGCAAAACAGTCCATAAAATAAGAGTAAACTCAAGAGAGATATTTACTGCTTGTATATAATTCTTGTGGAAGATTCTGATGTTAAAGTTCCCCAAGTAGTTGTTAAAAAGAAAAATCTCTCATTGGAAAATCCAACATCCTCAATATATACCTTAAAACAAGTTGTTTCTAAGTGGGCAGACCCCTTGGTGAATCCGAGGGTTTTTGTTTCCTCGCAGTTTATTGCCCACTCCATATTTTCTTAAATTACGTTATCCCTTGAAGACCCCAAAGTCAGAGCATATGCACCAATACCTTTTACGATGCCCTATGTCCAGCTCTGGTGATGGTTATCTAGTAGTTGGCTTATGCCTGGTGTAAGATCAAAGCCTACAATAAATGTTACCCCAAGGTTGACACAAACAACTCCTAACATATATCAAATGCCAACTCTTGCTTTGGCATGACAGTGACTATATCCCTCTACATTTTAATAAGTTGCTTCAATAATGCAATGACTAAAGGTCTGTGTACAAATGGCAAATATACATAAATTTTGTAAATTAAATGCATAACAAAGGGTCAAATTAAACATTCCTTAAACTATAGTGCCCTTTGGATCCCCTCCTACCCCCCGTAGAACATAAAAGGTTAAAAACCCTTTATTCACTTACCTGGTTGCACTACCGATGTCCCTTGGCGCTGGGTCATCGCCCCGGCTCCTCTGATGGGGGTATTTAAAGCGCATGCGCTGCGAGCACTTCAGGCCCTTCCAAAAGGAAAGCATTGAATCATTGCTTTCCTATAGAGATTTTTCTGACACTGAATGTCCTCTTGCAGAGCATGAGAACCGCCAGTGTTGGGTGACTTGGTCGGTAAACTCCGTGAAGCGCCTCTGGTGGCTGTCAGGCAGTTTCTTAAAAATTGCAGTGTTTTTACATTGCATGACTAAGGGGGACAGGGACTCTACATCCAGACCACATCAATGATCTGAAGTAATCTGGGTACCTATAGTGTCCCTTTAAGTCAAACATATTAATTCTTCATGATGTTTTGGATAGTATGTAGAATTCATAATTTTGGCAAATCTACATGGTATCAGCTGTGCTGGATGCAAGGTCGGCCTTTTGATGGCTTTTGAACAACAGGCGAATTGGTGAGATAATCTGTATTCTTTTTATTATAGATTAGACCAGTCAGATTGACAATCATGCTCTTATAAATGAAAAGGGGTGGGTAAGTGCTTGCATTTGTTGAAGTTAGAGTTGCTAGAAAATGCAGTTATGGATTTGAAGGAAGGAACAAACTAAAAATATACTTGATTATAAATGTGGAAAGAATGGCGTTGTAATAGAATAATATGGGTCATCCTTGACTTGCACTGACTTGATTTTACATTTATTGACAATTGCATCATGATGCTACTTTATGCCCAAACTCAAATTACATTGCTGGATGTAGAAAGCCTTCTTATTCCATATGTGTTCTGTAAGCATTAGCACACCCCTTTCTACTAAACAGTGTAACTGTTTGTTATGCAAGGGCTCCATTTCATGGACAGTGTTCAATATTTCATACCGAGGATGATCCCTTATCTTTATAGCCACTCTGTCAATTTTAAGTATTTTATCAAAACAGAATCTTTATAAAATATTCACAATAACTGCATTGGAGTTTCTGCGCAGTCAAAAGATATAATGAGACAAAGTATCTTGTCTTATTGAAAAATCTACCATCAAGTTTGGCATTTTTCACAGTTATCCCTAGCAAAGGCTATGGGAATTGTGTGTCTTCTCGTGAATCGCGAGACTTGGCCTGTGGAAGATCTTGCAGGATCCTCCATAGACCCTAATGCTGTACTTGATCTGTTAAATATAAGGATAAGCAAGCAATATAAAAAACAACAACAAACTGGGAATTGACAGTTCTTTTTTAAAATGTCAAGATGATCATCTTGATGCATTTTACACCTGCTGAGTGTTTTATCAGTAAAGTCTGGTGAGTATACCCTGTCCCTGCAGAATTTTTAATTTAAACATTGCCTTTTCAGAGAAAAGTATTTTACATTGCTGTTCAGTGGCAGTCACTCAGATGGCCACTAGAGGTGCTTCCTGGGTCAGTTATGCACAATGTCTCCCCAGTCTGCATGGAGACGCTGTACACGAAGTTATAATAAATGTTGTTATGTTTTCATCTTTGGTTTATTGCTATGTGGCTGGTGTTATTTTATATTTAGATTGTTAGTATTATATGGCTGGGGTTATTATAAATTAGATTATTATTGTTATTGTGGCTGGGGCTATTATAAATTTTATTTTTATTATGTTTTTACTTTTAGATTACCATTACTATAGTTATGTGGCCATGCCTGCTGTATGGTCTCCCTCCCGGCCCCGGTCTCACGCTGTCTCTTTCTCTTTTCTGGCAGATGAGTAGCCGCTAAGGCCGGATTCAGCATGGAGAGCCCAATGCCCCCGGACAGCCCGCTGCCCCCCGACTCCTCGCTGCCTTTCTATGACCCGTCTCACGCCCTGCACTTGCTGCGGGGGATCAGTGAGCTGCGGGCTGAGCAGAAGTTCTTCGACATGACGGTGAGTGCGGGCGGCCAGGACTTCCCGTGTCACCGCACTGTGCTGGCAGCTGCCTCGCTCTACTTCCGTGCCATGTTCGCTGGCCGCCTCCGGGAGAGCCAGGCCCGGCGGGTGGAGCTGCACCAGGTCACGGGGCCCACTCTGGGCTTGCTGCTCGACTTCTGCTACACGGGCCGAGTCACAGTCACACAGGACAATGTGGAGCTGCTGCTGCAGGCCGCTGACCTCTTCCAATTCCCGTCTGTTAAAGAGGCATGCTGCCAGTACCTGGAGCGCCAGCTGGATGTCACCAACTGCCTGGAGATCCAGGAGTTTGCAGAGGCCTACTCGTGCCAGGGCCTGGCCGAGAGCACCAAGCGCTTCATTCTGGCCCACATGGTGGCGTTGGCTCAAGCCCGTGAGCTGGAGCGTCTGCCCTGGAGTCGGGTGCTGGAATATGTGCGCGATGACCGGCTGTGCGTGGACAAAGAGGAGACTGCTTACCAGTTGGTGCTGAGCTGGGTCCGGGCCGACCTGCCGCACCGCCAGCACCGCCTGCCTGAGCTCTTCCAGCATGTCCGGCTTCCCTTTATCCGCCGATACTACCTGCTGGCCCAGGTGGAAAGTGACCCACTGGTGTACCGGAGCTCGGCCTGCCTGCGCCTCATTGGGGAGGCTCGGGCCTTCCAGTCCTGTGAGTATGACCGGCACGATAGGCCCTGCGAACGCATGAGGCCCCGGCCCTCCACAGGCCTGGCCGAGATCCTGGTGGTGATTGGCGGCTGCGACCAGGACTGTGATGAGCTGGTTACCGTGGACTGTTACAACCCCCAGACCGGGCAGTGGAGGTACCTGGCTGAATTCCCCGAGCACCTGGGAGGAGGGTACAGCATGGCAGCCCTGGGCAACGACATCTATGTGACAGGTGAGTCAGTTCATAAATATAACACTGTGACAAGGGACATTATAGCAGTGCATCCCTGGGTCATAACATGTATGTAACATACCACACCGCATGGCTTCCCTGGGTCATAACCTGTATGTGACATTCTACCACAGCATAGTAAATAATGGTTCAGGCACTCTGGGATATCAAAAATAGTAGCTTTATTGGGGGCAAAAGCAGCAACATTTCGACCCAACTGGGTCTTTATCAAGCTTGAAAAGGACCCGGTGGGGTTGAAACATTGCTGCTTTTGCCCCAATAAAGCTGCTATTTTTGTTATACTGGAGTGACTGAACTGTTATTAATTCTGCATATCTTGGAAGGGAGGTCTGGCCATCCCTGGCTTCAGAGCACCTGAGCTATTTGGTGAGTGTGTTATCCAGTACGTCTCTATTATGCCACAGCTTGGCATTAATGGGTCATAACATGCATGTGACATTATACCACAGCATGGCATCCCTGGGTCATAACATCTATATCACTGGTGACCATGTAACACAGCGTAGCATCTCCTCTGTAATGTTATCAATAAGAGGGCATCGGTTATATTGCAGCATAGCAGCCTCTGGGCAATAACTTAAATGTGACAAGTCACATCACAACAGCAGGGCATGTCTGGGCAGTTATATTTTTGTAACAGGTATGATTGTAGCAGTGTACTAAAATCTGAGTAAAGATATCTAATAGGTAGCAATATAGCATGGTGTGGAAGGTCAGGGCAATGATGGCTGTGACACATGAGAGTATAACATACCCGGGCAATGATATATAATTGACCAGTGATATGTCCTTGCCTTGGGGATGTCGATCAGTGGAGTATTCTTTATTATAGACAATGACAAGTGATATTTATCATAGGAAGTTATTTTTGTTGCAATCGGTTATCTTTCTGTAACGATAACTAATGTGATAAGTGAGATTATAACCTGATGCCAACAGGCCCCAGTATTGGTGTGGGAGAGATCACCACATTACAGCATCATATGCCCTGGTCACTGATATCTGTGTGATAGTTGAATTGTAATACAGCATGTCAGGTCTGGACGTGTATGACCGTTTATGTATTCCTAGACAATGATGTCTGTGCTCTGTAATGCTAGTTGTATGGTATTGGAGAAGTCTCACCTGTTGCAGAATGTTACTTCTGCCACCTTGCTTTGCAATCCTTTGCTCATGTGTTGGCAGGCTAGGCGCAGGATTTACAGTCATCAGATATAACTTTGTTTTTATGATTTAGGACACCATGGAAGGTCAGCCATCTCATAAACCAGACTTTGTATGAATTGACCGAGCACAACATTATAGTTTGCTATTGGGACAATCTTTCTGCCCATAACCACTTAGCTTATAAATGCCGTGATTTTAAAGAACATGCGTGTCAGTCAAGGCAGTGCAGAATATATAATAAATTATAGTGTACTGTAGATGATTGTTGTACACCTAGCGTGCAGTGTCTTGCATCCTTGGTCTTAAACAACCAATGTAGTATGCCTCATTCTAGTTGAAAATGCTTAGAGACACTCTTGGGGACTTCCAGTTTGATAGTTGTAATATAGGGCATTGTTTTTTTGTTTTGTTTTTTCAAATATTTGATGACCACCAGCTTAATTCTACCTCCATCCATATTGGAGTCAGTGTAAAGTTTCCACCATCCTGAGTGATTGACAATCCCTGTGCACAAGTGTACAATGCAAGTAGAGTTGCTCTACCTGAATGTTCATCACCCACTGGTTGTCTTAATCAGGTTGACCTATCCGACAGCAAACGATTGTTGGACTGCTACTTTTGAAAAGTACCGGTCTAGTGGTTCTCAAACGAGTTATCAAACCTTTAGTGTCCATATGATATCCCTGTCGACATTTAAAAAGAAGTGGGCTACCCCTGCTAAATCGTTGACCAATAGTGGTCCTGGTTGACTTGTGAGATCTGTGAAATGGGAAAAATTCTCAAATTCAGCTGTTTCTCCAGCTACAGTTCTCGTTCCAGTTCTCCCATATTTCTGGTCTATTAACTTTAAAACCATAGTTATTTACCGGGAACAACCTGATTGTGATATTTGAGTGCAAACCCTCTTCCCAAATTCAGTGATTCTTGGTGACTGAGGTTTTTAGGGTTTCTTTTGCCAAAGACATCAGTAGCTCATATTTTTACCAGGGCCAGGGGCGTATAAGCATTCTCTTGATAGTGTATCGAGTCAAAGGAAAATGGTTTATGAAGGTTAATGTGAATATAAACATTACTTTCTATTCTAGAAAGCAATGCCAAATAAAACAAGGTTTAACCCCTTAAGGACGGAGCCAAATGTACACGTTGTGAACAAAACAAAATGTAAACAAAACCTGGCATTTGCGCTACATGTCTGTCCAACCGTAATACACCTCTTTCATAGTAAATGCACCCACCCTTATTATATATCATTTTATTCAGGGGAAACAGGGCTTTCATTTAATATCAAATATTTAGCTATGAAACATAATTTAATATGAAAAAAATGGGAGAAAATACGATTTTTTTGGATTTTTTTAGTTCTACATGACATTTTAACGGTCAATGTCATAATACTGTTTGCTTTTACTGCAATAAAATACACATATTTGTATTCAGTAAAGTCTCACGTGTAAGACAGTACCCCCTATGTACAGGTTTTATGGCGTTTTGGGAAGTTACAGGGTCAAATATAGCACGTTACATTTGAAATTGAAATTCGCCAGATTGGTTACGTTGCCTTTGGGACTTTATAGTAGCCCAGGAATGAAATTTACACCCATAATGGCATACCATTTGCAATAGTAGACAACCCAAGGTATTGCAAATGGGGTATGTCCAGTCTTTTTTAGTAGCTATTTGGTCACAAACACTGGCCAAAGTTAGCGTTAGTATTTGTTTGTGTGTGAAAATGCAAAAAACGCCAATTTTGGCCAGTGTTTGTGACTAAGTGGCTACTAAAAAAGACTGGACATACCCTGTTTGCAATACCTTGGGTTGTCTACTATTGCAAATGGTATGCCATCATAGGGGTAATTTTCATTCTTGGGCTACCATAGGGTCTCAAAGGTAACGTAACCAATCTGGCGAATTTTAATGTGAAAAAAATGAAACGCAAGCCTTATATTTGACGCTGTAACTTTTGAAAACACCATAAAACCTGTACATGAGGGGTACTGTTGTACTTGGGAGACTTCACTGAACACAAATATTTGTGTTTCAAAACAGTAAAAAGTATCATAGCAATAATATTGTCCGTTTAATGCTGTTTGTGCGTGAAAAATGCAAAAACGTCACTTTTACTGGCGATATCATCGTTGTAATACATTTTACTGTTTTGAAACACTAATATTTGTGTTCACCGAAGTCTCCCGAGTAGAACAGTACCCCCCATGTACAGGTTTTATGGTGTCTCGGAAAGTTATAGGGTTAAATATAGTGCTAGCAAATTAAATTCCCTTTACTTTCGCATGGGTTGTCATGCAGGTCCTGCTAATTGTAATTAATTAAGATACCTAATTATGTAAAAATATTACATAAATATATATGTAGAATCAATATATGTATATATATACGTATGTGTGTATATATATGTATATATCTATATAATTTTTTTAAAATATTTTTATTTATATATAGGTATATATATAGTGATATATACGTATATATTTATGTGTATAAATATATATTTTATTTCGTTCTATGTGTATTTTGATATATATATATATATATATAAATTTCACAATACAGTTAGAACGAAATAACACACATCTATATATTTTTAATTATTTATTTTTAATTATTTTTGTAATTTTATTTTTTAACGTATTTACATTTTAATTTTTTTTATAATATATATAAATATATATATAACAATAATTATATATATATTTAATCAGTATCAGTGTACGTGTAATTTGATATTAATATATATATATAATTATATATATATTAATAGTAAAATACACCTAGACGGTGTACATGTGTGTATGTATATGTGTATATATATACTTTGATCATATATATATAATATATATATATGATCTAAGTATATATAATTTTATTTTTTTACACTTTTAACTTATTTTACTTTTATTTTCAGCCAGCAGGGGGACCCCCTGTAATTACAGGCAGCCCCCTGCTGGCAATACAGAAGCCAGCTATACCCGGCCATGTGATTGTGGGGTCCTCGCTAGGACCCCACTCTCACACGGCCGGGGGGCTTCCTGGAGGACGGTCGTGCCGCGGGGGGCTCCCTGGGAGTCCCCCCCACCGCGATCGCCGGCGTGGGACCGCCGGCGACCGGGTAAGTACAGAAAGACCGGAGGGCGTACTATTACGCCCGGCGGCGTTTAGAGCCGCCTATTAGAGGACGTAATAGTACGCCCTGCGGTCTTAAGGGGTTAAGTTTATGTGGGACGCAAAAAAACAACAACAAAACTTCAATTTTCATAGAAACGTAGATGTATTTAGAAAAGTACAGTATAAAAAAAGTTGTCTAACTGACACTGGACGTAAACAAAAGAGAGCGAATTAATCTTAAGGAGACGTTGCGTTTGCATATAACCAATGTTTCAGTCCAACTACCTTGACACATTAAGAAAAGTTTGGTAATGGGACTGAAATGGTGAATGTATGCTGTTGCACAGCTGTAAAAAACAAACGACGTTATCTTGTTGATTTTGAAGTCCTATGACTGTGTTCTTCACTTTGGCTGAGCTAACAAACTTGATGATCTCAGCCAATACAATGCTTCCCCATAGGAAAGCCTTGGGAGGCTATTGTACATGTGTGGCAAAAAGCTGCGCGGCCAGTCAGCATCTCTATTGGGAGCGTCCAGCCACCAAACTAATACTGACCCCTTCCCCCATTCTAAATACTGCCCCCTCCACCCAGAGTAATACACTGCCCCTTAATCTAATACACTGCCACTCCTCCCTCCACTCTAATTTAATGCACTGCCCCCTCCCTATCCCAATTATGACACTGCACCCCCATCACCACTCTTAATACACTGCCCCTCCTTTCCCCAATTTAATAAACTGGCCCCCTCCCTCCTCCAAATGAATACACTGCCACCCCCCCAACTTAATACACTACCCCCTCCTTCCCTCAAATTAATACACTGCTCTGCTCCTCCCCCCCACCCCACCACCACTCTATTACACTGGCCCACTCCCTCTTCTAATTTAATACACTGCCTCCTTTCTTAACCAAACAAATACATTGGCTCCCTCAAACGAATACACTGGCACCTGCCTCCCTCAAATTAATATGCTGCCCCCTCCCTCCCTCAAATTAATACACTGCCCCCCTCCCCAATTTAACACTCTACACAGGAAGTTCCCCCAGGCCCATCTTTCCCTACCTTAAGATGACCTGTCCTCCAGTTCCAGCTCTGCTCTTCTCTGCACAGGCCAGACTCTCCTCTGGCACTGGAGCAGGAGGGAAGCAGGCTGGCCGGCTCTGCAGACAGACAGACATTCTGCCCTCTTGTGGCTTTGGGAGGGAAGGCAAGGAGCATACAGGAAACAACTTTTCTGTATGCACAAAGCGGCCCCAGGGCAGGTGGGTTGCAAATATATTCATAGTGGGCTGCATGTGGCCCGCGCACCGCAAGTTTGACATGCTTGGCATAAAGGAAAGGAAAATAGTTTATGAAGGTTAATGTTGATGTAAACATTAACATTACTTTCTATATAACCCCTGCGCTGAATTAAGTGTTTATTTTCTAAAATGCGGTACTCGTTGTGTACTTTGACAGATCACATCATATTATGGCATCGGTTTGCTTGCTAAAATCCATAAAGAGGAAAGATCTCCTTTTTTGCATATGGTCATGTGGTTGTATTTTTTTATTTTTTTTTATTTTTTTTATTTTGGAGGCTTATCTGTCATGGATAGTTAAAGGGACACTATAGTCACCCAGACCACTTCAGCTCAATTAAGTGGTCTGGGTGCCAGGTCCCTCAGGTTTTAACCCTTCAGATGCAAACATAGCAGTTTCAGAGAAACTGCTATGTTTACATTGCAGGGTTAAGCCAGCCTCTAGTAGCTGTCTTCCAGACAGCCACTAGAGGCGCATCTGCAACGCTGGAAGCATATTATGCCTCCATCACGCAGAGCGTCCATAGGAAAGCATTGAGAAATTCTTTCCTATGGACACTTTGAATGCGCGGCACTGCCGCGCATGTGCATACGGCTCCACTGACGTCAGACGGGGGAGCTGACTTCGGCGGGGGAGGAGAGGTCACCAGCACCGAGAGAACCCGGCGGTGGAATCAGGTAAGCTGCTGAAGGGGTGTTAACCTCATCAGCGCCACGGGCGGGGGACTGCTTTGTTTTCCAGACACTATAGTGATCCTTTAAATGATGGAAAAAAAAAAAATATATAATTTTTACTGCAGCCATAGTAATATTTCCAGTCTTTGTTTCATAAAATGACATGTATGATCTGATTTTCCATACACCATTACAGTTTGCTCCTGCCAGATTCCCTTTTTGTTTGTATTAATTGCATTATTTTTGTGATGTACATCAGTAATGTTAAAGCAGACCCATCACCAGTGTGCATATGTTTGGTAAATACCATGTGGGTGACAGAAAGGAACGTCATCTGAAATCTAAAATTAAATTTGGATTAGAAATTAGATTGTTCTCATTCTGAATCTCTGCATGGTGATGTTCTTGGTACTGCCATCTTCCAACTGCGAATTGCTTCCCCACATCAATTTAAAGCTGATCTCTTGCTTGTATGTTTATTAAAAATATATATATCTGTTACTGCGTAAACTGGGAGTTGTGGAAAAATTACAGAATAATTGCAATTATTAAGCCAAAATTGCTGAGCTAGATAAATTGGAGAAATGTTTCTTCTTAGCTATAATACATTAAAGGGACACTATAGTCACCTGAACAACTTTAGCTTAATGAAGCAGTTTTGGTGTATAGAACATGCCCCTGCAGCCTCACTGCTCAATCCTCTGCCATTTAGGAGTTAAATCCATTTGTTTATGAACCCTAGTCACACCTCCCTGCATGTGACTTTCACAGCCTTCCATAAACACTTCCTGTAAAGAGAGCCCTATTTAGGCTTTTTTATTGCAAGTTCTGTTTAATTAAGATTTTCTTATCCCCTGCTATGTTAATAGCTTGCTAGACCCTGCAAGAGCCTCCTGTATGTGATTAAAGTTCAATTTAGAGATTGAGATACAATTATTTAAGGTAAATTACATCTGTTTGAAAGTGAAACCAGTTTTTTTTTTCATGCAGGCTCTGTCAATCATAGCCAGGGGAGGTGTGGCTAGGGCTGCATAAACAGAAACAAAGTGATTTAACTCCTAAATGACATTGAATTGAGCAGTGAAATTGCAGGGGAATGATCTATACACTAAAACTGCTTTATTTAGCTAAAGTAATTTAGGTGACTATAGTGTTCCTTTAAACTTTGCAATTATCTTATCCATTTTTGGTTTAGTAAAAAAAACACATTATTCTTCAGTTGCACATTGTGAGAGAAGATGCTGGATACATCTGCTGTCATTCACGAGTTACAAAAATATGAGGATATATTGATTATAGCACAGAAATCCTGTGCTAGAGCGTCGCTGGACGTCCTCACGCTGTGTGAGGACCTCCAGCGTCGCTCATTTTCCCCATAGGAAAGCATTTTTAATGGTTTCCTATGGGGAGCTCTAATGCGCCGCGCATGCGCATTAGGTCTCCCCGGCCGGAGGGCGGAATCAGTCTCGCCCACCGGCCGATGCAATCACAGGGAGGAGCGGTGCGGAGGAAGAAGTAGCGACGTGGGACATCGTCGCTGCCTCTGGTAAGTTACTAAAGGGGTTTTCACCCCTTCAGCAACTGGGGATTGGGAGGTAGGAGGGAGAGGGGACCTGCAGTGCCAGGAAAACTGATTGTTTTCCTGGCACTGGAGTTTCCCTTTAAGCGCAGCCATTATATGGAGCTTGTCTTGGACTGTAACAGAACTTTGAATTATGTCTCTGGGTGCAGGGGACTTCAGGCGTGTGTAGGTTGGGAGGCGGTAGATTCCATCTATTATATTAGTGGTCATAAGGCGCCTTTTGTAGTGCGGCAACTCCTCTGCAGAGATGGCGGTTGGGATTCCCCTGATTTTAATGTGTGTGTGAACCTTTGCCGGTCCTCTATGGTTGCCATTTTGAGTGCCATGAGTTTCTGGTGTTGCTGGATATGTTGTACCTTTTCATCAAGTGATGTTAGGCGAGATTTGACCCCACCACATCTTCCTCCGTGGCTTTCACCCGCTTGCACTTCTTTCTTAAGGAGGGCTGAGTCGGATGCTAAGAGCTTGTGGATGTCAGCTAGCAGGAGTTTTAGATCTATCTTGGTGGCTGGAGCCCCCTCATCAGAGGGTTCAAGCTGCTGTGGCTGTGTTGCCCTTGTGATCGGAGGGGTCTGCTTTGGGTTGGGAATGTGGTCTGTTTCCCGCTCGTCTCCTGTTGGTGTGAGCTTCGGTTGTGCGGACCGCTGCAGCATCATACCGATGTCTCTGCCGTCTGCTGGTTTTTGGGATCTGCGCTCCGTGGCCAGCATATGAGCTGGAGTTGCGGTGGGTGAGGGGGATAGAGGGAGTCTATTTCTCTCAGTTGGTTGTCGGGACAGGAATTCCTTGAGATCGTGGGCGTGAGGTAGGCCCTGGATTTCCACTTGGGCAGCTTTTGGGTATAAAAGAACGGCATCTATCGATGCAGCTTGCCGTGGTGGTTTGCGAGGCTGGATGGGTGCCAGTTTCACTATCGCCCAGATTATAAAAGTTTGTCGGGAGCTACTAGAAATGGCGTCTGGTGTAGTGTGGTAGCAAGCTGCGCCCCCCTTGGATAATCTGTTTTTAAACATTGTCTGACCCAAGGTGCATGTGTATGGCTGACCGGTACCCTGTCATGTACTAACGGTTGGGGGGGAGGGGGGGAGTTTTGCTCCCAATATTTTATTTTTTATATATATATATATATATATATATATATATATATATATATATATATATATATATATATATATATATATATATATATATATATATATATAGATTTATTTTCAATACTTGATGAAAGGATTTATTATATTAAAAAATAGTTTTGAGGTCACATTTTAAATGTGATGAGAACATATAATCTCATGGTATGTAGGGTCTGTGCCAGTTTCTGGAGTCTGCCTAATATTTATAGTAGAACTAGATTGAACAAATTGCTAGATGTAGATTTGTCTCTCCATTTTTAAATCATGATCATTTGTCATTTCTATGACTATTAGCGGCTTGTGTTTTTATACAAACTAAAGTCAGCTATTGTTTAGATTTTGTCATATCCATATCCTGAACATTGTTTAAGTAGTGAGATTCAGACTATATATTTACAGGAACAGAATGTTTTACACCGTTTACCATGGACGAACCTAATTTCGAAACTGATGTTCTATGACTGGGATTTCTGAAGGTTATAGGCTGAAGATGAGACTTAACAGGTGTTGGTTTTGATCTTCTCAACTATATCTTTCTATGCTTGGCACCTATTGTCGTCAGATGCTGAGTAATGGGTTCTGTGTGTGTTGGGTGGGGGGTCCTATTGATCTCGTGTTTCATATTAAAATGGGAGAGCACTTTATACAGGAATCTTAAAATGCAACTATGTTTTTTTTTTTTTTGTTTGTTTTTTATGTAAATGTCCACCGCATTTTTTTAAATAGTTTTTAACAATTGAAAATGTTCTTCTCTTCTAGGAGGTTCTGATGGCTCTAGGCTGTATGATTGTGTTTGGAGGTACAATTCCAGTGTGAATGAATGGACTGAGGTGTCTCCAATGCTGAAACCACGGGAATACCACAGCTCCACGGTGCTAAAAGGCCTGCTGTATGTTATTGCTTCGGACAGCACAGAACGATATGACCATAGCATAGACTCATGGGAATCTCTGCGGCCCATGCTGTACCCAATGGACAACTGCTCGACCACTTCCTGCAGGGAGAAGCTATATGCTATTGGCTCCTTAGAAGGCAAAGAAAACATGGTTATGCAGTGCTATGACCCTGAAACTGATCTATGGTCCCTCGTCAACTGTGGGCAACTTCCACCTTGGTCATTCGCACCCAAAACTGTGACCCTTAACGGCCTTATTTATTTTGTCAGGTGAGTTTCTAAAATACACCGGTGTTTTAATGTAAAACCAAAATCCACATTGCCGCATGGAAGCTGTAAAGAATCCTACAATGTGACATAGGTTAAGTCCACCGTTGATTTTCACCACTAATTTTAATGTAGTACATACAGCTGATCATGCATGTGAACGGAAGCAGATAATTATTGTTCTTTTTTTATTATATTTTTACGTTTTGAAAAAAAAAAACACCAAGGGTGTGTGCTAGTTCAGTTCATTCTACAGTTTCAGCATCAAAACAAATGTGTTGTGTTGGAGAGGAGTCAATGTGGGAGAATCTTCTCTTCTGCTCTCTCTGTCCAACAATACTTCGGCTTAGTCTATGCCAAAGATAGATTGACAGTTGGAAGAAAGGCATATTTTTAAATGGGTTTTTCTCCAAATCTATGCATATGCTAACAAAACTGCTAAAACCATGTATAGATGAAATTGGAAAAGAGCAAAAGTAGTTTTGGGCATGACCGCTTCCCTTTAACTAAAAGTCCTATTTATGTGGCAAGAAAACCCTAATTTGTGGTCCAAAAATGTTTCATAAATCCAGATGTAGCTCTAGTACACTTAGCTTGCCCATGATTATGATCAAGCCGGGGGTGGTTATAATCCTCAGTTGCCTTCTAATCTAGCCTTTTTCTCTTTGTCCACTAATAGTGTAGTTTTTATTAAGGTTGGCAATTGTTATATATATATATATATATATATATATATATATATATATATATATATATATATATATATATATATATATATATATATATATATATATATATATCTCTATCTCTAGTATAAACCACAACATTTTATTTCTGTTTTGCTTTAAACCGATATAGTTTGTCAAAGCGGATAGAATAGGAAAAGTGCACTTATCGCTTTTACTAAAACAATAACGAACAGTCAGCTGATGCTCTTAGAAGATTAAGTGCTCTTTTTAAGTCTAATAAATGGTATATTCTTTTCTCAGAGAAATATAAAATATTTATTGTAATAAGAGAACATGCTGGAAATAGGTTAATTGCAGTTTGGAGAAAAAAAAAAGACAAAAGCATAGCCATGTTTACATAAAGACTCGCAAAAATAAGATAAAACACAAAACAGTTTGACCATGGAAAAGATTGAGAAGAAACATAGGGGGAAAGGGCATGACACAAGTTGACCAGGAGGCGATGCCACATTGAGAACTGTACCCCTTCCATTCAACCTGGCAAAATAGCAGGGAATGTTTGTGAGCCAGCAGCTTTACCATATCTTGAATTGTCCTGGGTAGGGGCGGTGACCTTCCAGCAGCTAGCAATGCACTTTTTTAAGGCTGAGTATGCCATGAAAATAAGTTTATATGCAGAATTGGTAAGAAAGACCTGTGTATAGTCCCTGTTTAGAAGTGCAGCCCCTAGATACAGGGAGAGGGTGACCCCAAGTAACCGCAAGAACCTCCCAAAAAGATTGTCCCACAGAGGTGTGACCCGAGGGCAAGTCCACACCACATAGCGTGCAAATAACCCTCCTCCCCACATCTCATAAAACAAGCAAATACTGCTCCTGGTGTAATTTTGGACAGTCTGATGTCATACAGGCACACATTAATTCACTGGCAGATCGGGGAGATTGAAACTTCTCCCTGACCATCCTTGCTCCCTCTTATCCCGTGGCAATATTTAGCATAATTTGGTCTGGTGATTGCTGTGGATCTTGCAATAATCGCCACATTTAAACTGATATTCTGTCACTTTGTTCCCCCTCATCTGTGAGAGACCTGGCACTAGCAGCACTTGTGTTCTCCCTACCAGATGTTTTGGGAGAATAAAGAGAAACCTGAGTGGATGAGACAGAGGATCACAAGAGGGTCATTTCGAGACCAGGGGTGACCAACAAAAAATAGAGGAAAGTCTAAGAAATATATATACCGGTACATTCAGGAAGTTAGAGAGACAGGCATGTAATAAATATTTTAGGGATTAGCATAATTCTTACTGCACATATACGGCCAAAAAAGGAGAGCTTATAGATGGCGAAGATGAGTAATCATATTTTTCCACCTAGGGGTAATGTGGATGCCCATTAAATTGACATTTGACTGCCACCGAAAATTAAAATGAGCATGCAAGTGCACCTGGGCCTGTGCTCCAGAATGGGCTCCAAACCCCTTCTCAACCAATCTGCTGCTGCTTGTCTGATATGGAAATTAACCTTTGCCATTAAAGCTGAATGTTCTAAGGATGGGTTAGCCCAGTGATCTCACCTGGTCATTGCTGGCCAAAATTGGGAGGGGCACTCCTGTATCAGTTAAACAGCAGCAGAGGACTGTAGGTGGTGAGAGAGCTTGTTTAATTTTTATATTTTTATTTTTTACATTTTAAATCAAAGGGTTGACAAAAACTGGGAGGTAAGCGTCCACCGACTCTTGGCACCATAACCACTACAACTGGCTATATGTAATGATTACGGTGCTTAATGCCCCTTTATTCAGTGTCTTATCACCTTGCTGTTCCCTGGTATCTGTGTCCCTGATCTCTTCTCCTTTTCCTCCTTCTGTACACGACTACCTCATCTATGTACCTGTTATTTTACACCCACCTCACACCTCATCCTTTACGTAAACCATTGTTTATTTATTTTTTCTCTCCTTTCTTTTCCTTTCTTTTCCTGTCTTTTCCTTTCTTTTCTCCTCCCCATTTTTGTTCTGCTTTCTTTTTGGGCACGGAGGGGGTTATCCCATCTGGTAACCCGTGAATGTGTGTAGCCATGCTGTGCTGATGTGGCAGGTATGGGTCACTCAGGTCTCCCTCCATTGTCATAATGTACGAATGTATGAGGTAGTATTCATTATTTTCATCTTATTTGTTAAATTGTTCTAAAAGTTAATTTTTTTTTTTTTTATTTTTTTTTTTACAAGGTGGACAAATATTGAGAGGAGAAAAAAATGTACTTGTATTCCAAATTACGGTTAAGTAGCAAAAACAAGGCAATAGGTGAAGGTAGGGGGATTGGCAAACGTCAACAGGTTTAATAAATTGTGCCAAAACTAGATGTAGAAGTGTCAATGGCTCGTAACAAAGCTTGAATTTCAAGGGTGATGTTTATCTTTAGGGGATGCAAGGCACTAAATGCATGGCTTCACTAGTGGATGGTGGGCCAGTCATGGGACAGTCTTTGACTTTCTCACCTACCGATGGAGCTGCAGAATTTGTGCTTGAGCAGCACTCTTGTGAATGCCTAATTGCCTTAATGTAATCCAGCACTGGCATGCAATGTGCATTCTCTCTCCTTCCTGTCATTAAATAGCTTTACACCCCTGTGCTCTCAGTACTTTTCAAAGAATAACTAGTTAACTTATTTTGCCTGAAGCCTCAGACTGTAACAGAAGTGAAGAGACAGAGCTGTAAAGCATCTGATTTAAAAACTTTGGGTTTAAATAGTTAACAGTTTAACCTTTCAAGGTAGGGACCTCCTTGCACCATAACAACTTCATTCAAATAAAATGTTATGGTGCCCAGAGAGGCCGTTTAATTGCTCTTGATCATGGTGATCAAATGCAAGAGAGACCGTAAAGAGATGTTCACCTAAAGCTATGCAATATGCTATACTGTGATAAATCAGAATAACTTATCCATGCATTTGCTAACTTCGTACTCTTTATACACCACTTCTTCCAGTATTGAATGACAGGTGAACCTGAAATCTGCAGGACTATTCCAATATATTCAGAGTACACAAGTCAACTGCTACCCAGCTTTCTTGGCAACGACTTTTATTAACCTGATGAGAACATTGTGTTCCTTCACCCAGTGCACGGAATATTTATCATCTCACTGTGAAAGCCTGTTCTAAATACAATGTTTAGACTAGTGTCTGGACAAGATCCGAACAGTCCAGGAATAAATTAAAAATAATAAGAAAAAAAAAAAGAAAAGCTCCTAAACAGACACTTAAAGCAAATGCATCGTGACCATAGAGAACAAACCCTCTCTTTCTTTTTTAAGTAATGTTTATTATCCCATCACATTACCCAGAAAGTTGCCATGAATACTATCCTGCCTTTTTTTTTTTTTTTGGCAACAGCTGCAGAGTTCACATCGTTCACAGTAACAACTAATGCTTCTCACCTGTTTCTGTCACACAAATTTTGCCTAGAATAAAACCGTAAAAATGTCTGCAGGATCATGTTTCCTGTTGCTTAAGAACACAAGTCTGACTTGTTTTGTTACATCTTGGCAGATATAGCAGGAGAAGCAGGCCGTACCTTTTTGGTCTGTTGACATGTTAGGTGATCAAATGCATTTTCAATCCGCAGAGGAGGAGGAACCTAAAAAGGTTATAGTAGAGTATAGAGTTATAAAAGGTTATTTTATTTTTTTCATTTTTAAAGGGACACTAGAATCACCTGAACAACTTCGGCTTAAAGGACCACTATAGTGCCAGGAAAACATACTCGTTTTCCTGGCACTATAGTGCCCTGAGGGTGCCCCCACCCTCAGGGACCCCCTCCCGCCCGGCTCTGGAAGGGGAAAGGGGTAAAAACTTACCTTTTTCCAGCGCTGGGCGGGGAGCTCTCCTCTCCCGCCTCCTCCCTCTGAATGCGCACGCGCGCAGCTGCGCCGCTTCAGCATCGCATAGCATTACAATTTTTATGGATTTGCGTGCTCTCACCGTGAAAATCACAGTGAGAAGCATCAAGCGCCTCTAGTGGCTGTCAATGAGACAGCCACTAGAGGATTAGGGGGAAGGCTTAACCCATTCATAATTATAGCAGTTTCTCTGAAACTGCTATAATTATGAAAAAATGGGTTAAGCCTAGAAGGACCTGGCACCCAGACCACTTCATTAAGCTGAAGTGGTCTGGGTGCCTAGAGTGGTCCTTTTAATATAGTTGTTCTGGTCTGTATAGTCTGTCTCTGCTGGCTTTTTGCATAGAATTGCATACATTGCTCCTGGGGGACTCCTTCAGTGGCAGTCACTCAGACGGTCACTAGAGGTCCTTCCTGGGTTGGAGCACTGATGTTCAGTGCTTCGCTGACCTTTACCCCATAAAGATGCTGTGCATGTGCAATAGCCTCCCAATGTTTTCCTATGGGAAAGCATTGGATTGACTGAGATTATCAATTCTGATGATCTCGGCCAAGAAGGCAGATGGAGTGCGGGGCCTATGTTGGTGGAATGAAGGTAATTTTTCTACTTCTTTAAGGGAGGCTGGGAGGCTAATTAGTGGTTTTTAACATTAAAGGGTCAGGAATACCAATTTGTATTCATGACCCTATAGTGTTCCTTTAACTATAATAATAAAGGTAACAGTTAAAATATGAACAGAAAAATAAACATAAGGGACAGGCAATTATGTATTTATTAAAGAAATGTATTATTTTAGGAGTCTGGGAGGTAAAGGTGTACAGTATTCACATGGCTCTCTGGTTTCTAGTTTGATGTATAATACTGTAGTGTATTGTGTGTGTATATATAGTCTGTAAGTCAGTCACAAAGTCTGATTGGCAGTACACATAGGTTACTTAGCCATTTATGTATATTTAAAGGGTTACTCCAAGTACCATAACTATAACAGATTGCTAATAGGATAGGAGTACCCTGGCTCCATTTCCCAGTAAAGAGCCCAAACACTTGCTTCTTACCTGGATGCCTCCGTTTCTAGTGACTGAGCTGCGTCCAGCGAATGAAAGTGTCCATGCACAGAATTGACGTAAGCCTAGAAGTGAAGCTGTCATAAATTTCTATTTTAAAGATACAGAACATTTTATGCAAAGTTTCAGTGAGAGTGAGTGCGGAGTGCTCTTCTAGTCCTTGGCTGCACTAAGGCTGGTGGCGATTCAAACCAGTAACAGCAGGTGTTGCCAAGCCTTTGAGAGCATTAGGTCTGTTAAGAAAGGCAAATGAGGGGTAGGTGCCAGATGCTCCACAATTGACATACCAATCTTGAGACACCCATCTCTACAGTGATTTAAATAAGTGGACATGTCCAGCACAGGTGGAGAAAGGTGCCTTTGACCCCGCATCTCTGAAAACACCATGAAGAATGGGCCGGGTAGATGTCCATTAATAGTGTTTTTTTGTAGTTTTCCCTAAAAGAGGTGCACCCACCTCCGATTCCCATTTTCATCACGTATGCAGGATAGTTAGGAAAAAGGATGTGCATAATATAAGGGATATAACTCCTGATAATTTACAGTGCCTCCTACAAAAATCTGTGTAGGAAGTGCATAGTTCAGTTGGCTATGTTAGGCGGTTATCCCAAACGTAGTGTAGCAAGTGTTTAACCTGGAAATTGTCTTATCCTGGTGTCTGTTGTGGTCTTTGAAGTACAAGAGTAGATACGTGTGTGTGTGTGTGTGTGTTAGAACCAGCTAATGCGTCCGTATATCCATTTGCACACACTGCTGTACATTGTTTTACAGGCTCTGTGCGATAGAAAAAAAGGTAGTGCTAAGGTTCAAAAGGTTTTTGAAAATAGAAGTAACAAAAACACATTCGGTTTTGTGAGTGTCATTTTAACACACACATTCATAGGTGCCAACATTGTCTTTTAATGTAGTGCCAGTATATTGTTAAAAAAGGCTCATTTGTCATGAGGCTTTACTATTCCCTTAAAAAATTCCTGCTAAGCTTTGCTGGAAAGTGTGTATGTCCCTGTAATAGCACGACATATTGTGTTTCTGTCCGGAATCAACATATAAATGTGTTTATGTGCATATGTTTATTTTAATAATATGGAATTAAAAATCAATTTCAAATTTTAGGACTATATAATCTAGATTAAAATTTGGAGTTCACTGTGCATTTTGATATTCCATACTTGAGTGAATAACCCTGTTAGTGTGTAAGAAGCTGGTAGTTTTGTAAAGAAATGTTCATAATTTTCTGTATTTTCATAATCCATAAACACAATGCAATTTCTGAATATATATGTTAGTGTGACACACATGTTGATATTTTATATATTTTTTATTTTTATTTATGGGAAAAACTCAATAAAAATAATTTTCTCCCTCACCAGAGATGATTCAGCAGAGGTGGATGTGTATAGTCCATTGAAGAACGAGTGGGACAAGATTCCTCCAATGAAACAGGTGCTGTTTTCTTTATTTCCTTGCAGTCAGTTCTCTCATTGGAATAACAAATATAGAAAGTGTTAACTGAGCGTTGTTGAATTTGGCAGCCAGTCTGGTATCATTCATAGCAAGGAAAGCTGCAGAGGTATAGCCCTTTTATTAGAAATACCATGGATACATGTGATATCAAACACAATTTTAGAAACCACAAATTTCTTGCATCCATGATTTTTTTTTAAAACCTCGTATCAGTATTGCTTGGAACGCGAATGGGGACTTATGAAGCTGATTGCAAAATGTAAAGAGCATGAAAACCAGAATAAAAAGGGTTTTTGTTTTTTTATGTTCTCTTCCAAAATCATGTTTTCAAATGATGTATCTTGCCTCATGACTGTGGAATGTGGGGGACCCTATCTACAATTTGCAGCTGCCACCGTTAATTCAGCCTCTCACCTATTAATGATATGCTTCCAGGAATAGAACTGAATTAAAGAGGTATTATAACCCCTACTGCCCCCAATAGTAGTTGTGGTGCCAGTATGCTCCCGGCATCATCAACTGTTTTCTAGTAGTTTGACTTAAACAGTAGGTACCTCTATGGCGCATGTTCCCACAATAACCACTACAACAAGCTGTAGTGATTATAGTTCTTATAGTGCCTCTTAAAGGAGAAGAGCTGTGAAACTCCACCTCTGCCCTCATTTTAAAACATTAGTGTACTATAAAACATGAATAATGCTTAGCCCTATAGAAGGAAAACAAATTACCATCTTCATTAACCACCCTGCCTTTGGTCTCCTGACTCATTAAGATGTTTCTGGAACCCCTCTGTAACGTAAACACACAAACTATATTTTGATTAGCTTCCTCGTGTTTTAAAGAAACACTAATGTCACCCAGACCACTTTGTCTCAATGAAGTAGTGCGGCTGCAGTGGTCCTTTTAGAAACTACAATGTTTACGTTGCAGGTATCCAATTCCAAAAGTAGTGTTGCACTCAGGGAAACTTTGTCTGGCAATTAAACTTTCCCCCTCTCTCAATATTTGCTTTTAGTAAATGGTTTGAGTAGCTGAAAAATACATAAACAGTAACTGCCTACATATAGTTACAAACTAGTTGGCAAATACTAAAGGGGAAAAAATGGAGGACCAGTCCTCTTTAAATTTAAAAGTATTATCAATAACATTTTAACATTGTGATGTTTAGCAGTAGTGATGTCGCGAACCGTTCGTGAACTTGCCGCGAACGGTTCGCCGCGAACTCCGGTCAGCTGACACATCACTTCCAATCTCCGGCAGACCCTCCCTCCCAGACCCTCCCACCTCCTGGACAGGATCCATGTTGCATGGATGCTGTCCAGGAGGTGGGAGGTTCTGGGAGGGAGGGTCTGCCGGAGATTGGCAGGGATGTGTCAGCTGACCGGAGCTCGCTGCGAACCGCGAACGGTTCGCGACATCTCTATTTAGCAGTAGCTAATATGGAGCTCATCTTGTTATTTCAGGTTCACGTTGGAGGCAGTTTGGCAGCCATGGATGGAAAACTTTATGTATCAGGCGGTTACGACAACACATTTGAACTCTCTGACGTGGTGGAAGCATTTGACCCCGAAACAAGAACATGGAGCATTGTGGGCCACCTCCCTCAGCCTACATTCTGGCACGGCAGCGTTAGCATATTCCGGCAATTCATGCCTCACACACAGTACAGTTTTGATGGAGTCACGTTGGACAATGCCCACCACGAACGACACACAATCAACCTCAACAGACGAAGACAGAACTTGCACAATCACAACCTGAACGAATTACACCGGTGATAGGAAGTCTAGAGAGAGAGACTAATGACAAGATTGTGAGAAGACATTGCTGCTTAGTATGAATAAACTGGTTGGTATGTGGAAACAGCAGGGATAATAAAGCCCTCATTGTTTATAAAATGGCTAGGACCCGTGTTCCTATTTTAATGCAATGTGTACATCATACATATTTTTCTTCCACATACCTTAACCAAAATATATGTAGTTGTATGTTTGTACAGGACTGATGCTGTTTCTTAATAGAGAGAAATTTTACAGGGCAGTAAAAAAACTATATATTTTTTTTTTTTTTCTAGTGAACATAAAATATTTAAAATGCACTTGATCACGACTTTGCGCACTGTTCTTTTGTTCAGATTGATTTTCATGCATGCATTAGAAATTGTTACTGTAACCATGGTTCCTGATTATATACATTCTGCATGTTCTGGTAAATGATATGATTTTATACACAGTTATAGTACAGTATGTAGGAGTTTCTTGATGTCTTTAAACATGCTCTCTGCTGAGAAGAAAAATATAACTTTTCAGGTGTGTTCCACAGCAATGGACTGTGGGTGATGGGATTTGTGTTTGGATCAACAGCAAAAATAGATGTGGCTAGATTTGATGGACTTGACTTATTTTAGCCTATATTATTATGTAAATGTTGCAGCAAGAAACAGATTGGGGAGTTTGAAATATCATTTATTGGTATATTTATTAACCCCTTAAGGACACATGACATGTGTGACATGTCATGATTTCCTTTTATTCCAGAAGTTTGGTCCTTAAGAGGTTAAACATGGGTTGGCTCAAGGGGAGAATTTAGGGGTGTTGTACATTTTTGTACACTCTGATTTTAGTAAAATGCCAGTGAAATTATGGAATCCCATAATTTAGCACTTCTAAAACATCCAATCATTTGCGTTGTTGAATTCTTGATTTAATGCTTCTTTAACCAAGACGTAGTTTTAGGTACATTGTAACTTAATCAAGCAGTTCACTTCTTGCCTTTCCAGGGGAATTGCTCCGCAGTGATGACCAGAGTTCTGTTGTGGTTTTATGTGCTCTGTGCAGTCTGTATTTTAAAATGTACAGCTGTCTGATGACATTTTAGGCCATTTACACTCTATAAACACAAACAAAAAAACCCTGTTTCTGCAAAGCTCCTTACTATGTTTAAATAAATAAAAGTTAAAGGAACACTCCAAACCACTGAGGCACTTCAGCTTACTGAAGTGCTTTAGCGGGTATAGTGAGACACCTATGTCTTAATTTAAGTTGCACCCTCCTGCTCAAAGCAAAAGTCAAGGATTTTCCTAGAGATTGACCGGATTCAATGGTTATTTGAAAAGCAATTGGTGCGGCACATGCACAGTAGGACCCCAATGCATTTCACTGGAAAACATTGGATAGGCCTGGGAGATCATTACTTGTAATGGTTTTCTGAAATACTGAGCATAGTTGTGCCGAGGAGAGTCTCTGCAGTGTTGGGAATAAATGTATTTATTTATAACTATGGAGTGTTCCTTTAAGCATTTTGTGTAGTAGGATATCACTTTTGATGCCTGAGAGATGTCACCAGGCTTTTCTTGTCTGCTATATATATCAATAGATTGAGACATATATCGAGATCAAGAGACTGTTTGTGTGTTATCATGTATTTAGAATTTAAAGCTTGTTTCTTTGTTTTTTTTTCTGTGTGCAAATATTTTGAAGAATACATATGCTGTAACTTTTTTTTTTTTTTTTTAAATAGTGAAAAACATTGTATTGAAATCACTGCTATATTTTATTTTTTAACATCTTAATGGCAAGGTAAATCAAGCTGACCTGTCATGGAGGGGTAAATGTGTCTGCACTTTTGGTTAGGGAGATGTAGGTGTTATCCAAAACCTATTTAACCCTCTAATGAAAAAAAACTCATTTAAAAAAAAAAAAAAATATTACTGAAACCAAGACTGCACGTGTTGGCCTCTCTGCATTATTTTGTAATTCATTCATACAAGTAAATGCCTCTTTTTAGTACATCAACTGAATTGCACTTGATCTGCGGGGATGCCATTTTAAGTGCTTTTTAGTCAGATGCAACATGTATTTAAGACTACACAATTTGAATGGCTGAAACCTGCTAGATTTGCACCACTAGATTTGCAAATGAGCACCAAGTCTGTTACTAGCATGGGCTTTGGCTGGGTAGCTGTGCTTCTCACCTGTGGGATTTAAAATGCCCGTCCTCGTGTTGCAAAGGCAAACCAGGAGTACAATTGAAAAAAGGTATTTCTTTATAATACATGCAGTTTTAACATGTTTTGCTGTCATGACAATGGGTGGATGAGATGTGCAAGTAATTGAAACAATACAAGGTTGCTGTACAAGAACAATAGTTTATTACTCACACCAGCATTATAAGTAAAGGTATTAATAACGCTGGGGTGTTCCTTTTTAATGCTCTGCATTCTGTTTGTGGTCACTTTACCTAGATACATATATTTGATGAATAAGCTATGTTATCATACTATACTTTATGACCAGTTCCAAGTGGTATTGTCATCACAGACCTTGACTTATCATCCAATACTGAGTCCTCAGACTGGGACACCCAAGGTTGTGGAATTAGATGAGCCGGTCTGCTTACTACTCAAATGAGAATGTCAGTCAGACATGCTCTGCTCAAACTTTGCAGTGCATCATTGTTTTTCTCCAGTGTCCCATGGATAATAAATTAGTGGTTAAAGATACGTATGTGTACTGTTCTTCACAGTCTTTGCTGCATTGATATAGATCTCTTAAAAGAATTGTTAGTATATGGTTGCACAATAGTGTTAAAGTGATTTGTTCTGTTATGTTTACAATTGTTTTTTTATATTTTTACATTCAGAGGTGTTTTAGGATAATGCAATTTTATAGAGATTCTTAATCCTACATGTTGCCTTGCCTTACCCTCACTGTGATACAGCACTTGAATAACACTAGATTTTGGATGACACTAAACTGTACAATGCTAACTAATAATTGGGATTCGCTATTTCTTCTTGTACGTGTAGAAAAGGGAATTTCGTGCTAGAATCTTGCCATTGTGATAGCACTGCATATTTGACATCAAATGAGTTAGGTTTAAAGGGACACTTTTGCACTTAGTGCTGTAATGTTAAACAATGTTACATTGTAGCTCTAAGTCTGCCCTCAGTGGCTGTCTACCAGACAGCCACTAGAGGGCTTCCTGAATTGAAACTGTCCTTTGGTCCGGTATCTGACGCTGGACGTCCTGCATGAGGACATCCAGCATCAGATTTCCCCCCATAGGAAAGCATTGACTCAATGCTTTCATATGGGGAGGTCTAATGCTGGTGTGGCCTGCATGTCGCGGGACGGCGGAGGGGCCGTATCTGGGATCAGATAAGTAAATAAATAGTTTTTAACCCATTATTTACCGATATGGAGGAGGGATGCAGGGTGAGCGATTAGTGCCCGGAATACAGCCTTGTATTCCTGGCACTATAGTACCCCTTTAAATATTTCCAGCACAATCCCCATAAAAGTAGTTGATCAGGTCTACTCAAATAACTTTTTCTATATCTATAGTATCACATTATAACTTTTTGTAACTTCTCAAAAACCCATGGTGTCTTGATATACTAAACATCTGTGTATTAATAAGAGTTTGAGCGCAGAGCTTAATTTTGTACGTTTGTGTCTTCTGTGTATTGTTTTGCATGTTCAGTATGAAGGCTAAATAGTTTATCAATGTCGTTCGACTGTATGATCTCACCATGTATTTCAGTTCAGATCACTTTCAATTTGTTATTACCTATATATGCTAGCATGGGGTTAAAGCAATACAACCGGAAGGCTGCTTAGTAGTTTAATATTTCTGAAGGGATTATTTCCTAAATGCAGTTACGTTATGTCTTAAAAACAAGGAAAATCAAACCATATAGAGCTGCAAGTTTGAAATCGCTGATTAGCCTGTAATCAGCAGGCAGCTGTACGACAGTGGTGGAACGAAATGATGCTTAGCAATTATCACTAATCAAAATAAATGCTGCTGGTTGTGAGTTATGACTTGTAGTTCTGTAACAATTGGAGGGTTAGGTTGTCTACTGCTGGTGATCGGTTGATTGCTGCCTTTGTCACCCAGTATGTTTGGTGCCAGGCTGAGCATCATAAGAAAAGGCATTCAAAAACAAACTGGGTGCCAACACTAGCAATTACTGATTTTTATTTTTTATATATATATATATATATATATATATATATATATTAAAATGGATAACTTAAATTACAGAATTATGGTCAAAATAAGGTGTAATTCCCATCAATCTCTTCTTGGCCAACTCACAACTTTTTATGTTTGTTTTTTTTTGTTTTGTTTTTTTGGATAAAATCCTTTACAATAAATGTTATATTTTACCAATTAGTTGCAAATTGTATTGCTGACATTTTTATCTTTTTAAATTTGTGCTGTTCTGATTTTGCCTTATTTTTATAGAACACTTTATTTAAATATCTATTTTATGTTACCATTGTGTAGTTTGGGATTAAACAACCAAAATAAAGTTTTAAAGAGGAAAAGAAAATTGTCATTCATGAAGGCCAATGCATTTCACTTGCATCAGATCACGTTTTCTTTTTTTTTTTTTTTTTGTCATTCAATTTGCTTTTATTGACATCATAACAATTGGCAATACAAAGTTATATGCCTCAATACAGAAGGTGGCAAAAATAGTGTACATGTCAGTTGTTGTTCATTTGGTATAAAGGTATCGTTAGTATTTATGTGAAGCGAGCAATTTTACAAAGCAATAGCGAGCATCTGATTCCATTCCTACATTGCAACATCTTTCAGCATTGACAGTTTTCAAGAAGGAACTAGTCTTAGAAAAATAGAAAGAGAATATTTTCACCATTCTCACAAGTTTTAGACATGAAAGCTATAGAGAACACTCAGATTCAGTCATTTTATTAATTGGTATGTTTGTGTTGGGAAGCAGATAAACTGCGATAAGGCAGAAACTTTAGTGCTCCTGCTGTGACCTTGTCTAGCCCTGCTTCCTGAGAGCGTCTCTACTGATCCGTTGGGGTGGGGGGTAGGGAGTGGTTGTCGAGTAGTGGGGCGTTTGGGGGTCAAGGGTCCGTCAGGTAGTTTTTGTCCTGTGTGCGCGTTTGTTGTGGGTGTCCCCTTTGCGCTAGTCGCTGTTCTTTGATGTGTGTGGGCGGTGGCTGTGTGTGTGTCATGCGTCGGGGTGTAGTCTTGTTGGGGTGTCCCTTCTGTGTTGGTGTCCTTCTGTGTCTGTTTGGGGATCCTATTAGTGTCGGGGGTGTGTTGGTCGAGCGGGTGCTGTCCCGGGTTGTGAGGGTTAGGTGGGTTCTGGTATCGTGGTGTAGTGCACTTGGGTATTGGGCTTTTGGACAGTCTTGTTGGGTTGGTTCATCCCTTGTCCGATATGTGTTGGTCATGGTGGGTCTTTGTGGGTGCTGTGGTGTATGGTCTGTCCTGTAAGGGAGGTGGCGTTTCTGCGAGTGTAGGTGGCATTCTCAAGGCAGCCTGTCGGCAGTTGGTCATGTATTTTAACGTGTGTTGTGGGGGGCGGGTGGGATGGGAGTGTAGGTTAATGGGGTGAGGGCATTGCGGGTGAGGGTAAGGTGCGGGAGGGTAGGGGGTGGGGTGTCAGGTCCCGGGTCCCCACCTCAACCCCCCCCGCCTCCGGGGCAAGGGGCATCTCCGGCTCTGAGTGGTCGTCTTGGTTTGGTTGGGTCGGTGGTTCAGCTTCCGTATTGTCGTCCGTCTGTTCCGTCTGGACCGTCCCATCTGCCTCTGCTGTCAGGTGTTGTGTGGTCCCCGTAATTGGTGCGGTGGAGGCGAGCCATTGGAGCCAGTGGTACCATGCATCATGGTAACGTTGTATGCGTCCCGTTGCAGAGTGGATGAGTTCTTCGATGCGTCTGATGTCTTCCACTCTCGTTATCCATTCTCTGATAGTCGGGGCCATGTGTTGTTTCCAGTGTCTCGGGATGAGGCTGCGGGCTGCGTTTATTAGGTGTGGGAGTGCTGTTTTTTTAAATTTGTTGATTGGGGTCTGTGTAAGTTGGAGCAGGTATGTGTCTGGTGAGAGGGGTAGGTTTGCTTCTGTTATGGTTGTGAGTATCTTGTGGATCTCTGCCCAAAAGGGCTGGATAAGGGGGCAGGACCACCATATGTGGAAGAGGGATCCCAGTTCTCTCCCGCATCTCCAGCATTCCGGGTCATTTGTGGTTTTCATCATGCTAAGTTTTTCCGGTGTCCTGTACCAGTGGGAGAGCATTTTATATCCTGTTTCTTGGAATTTGGTGGAGACGGAGGCTTTATGTGTGAGTGTAAATACCGTTGTCCACTGTTCCGTTGAAATTGAGTGTCCTAGATCCCTTTCCCAGTATTTTGTGAAGTAAGGGAGGGGTGCGTTAGTGGTGGTGGTGGTTTGCATGCGATATAGTAGCGATATCGCGTGTGGGGGGGGGGGTTCATGCATATGGTCTCGAATACAGAGAGTGTTCGCGTTGCCGAATTTAGGGTCGGTATGCTTCTCAGAAACCTTGTCAGTTGGTGATATCTAAAGCGTAGGAGCATATTGTGTGGGGTATTCGGGACCAGAGTGGTCAGGGGCATGATTGTGCCTTGGTCATAGACGTCCTTCACTCTGCAGGGGGTCGGCAGGCCCAGGGCAGCCGTGTAGTGGGGGTCCGATGCAGGGGCAAATTTAGGGTTGTGAGATATGGGGCATAATGGTGAGAGCTCCGGGGCTACGTCTGTGTGAGTCACCAGTCTCCTCCAAACTGCCATTGTAGCGTTTAGGGTTGGGTGGTTCCGTGGCAGTTCCCCGGCCATGGATTTCGGTAGCCAGGGTAGAAGTGTCAGGGGTATCCGTGAGAAGCTGGCCTCTATGGGGATCCATAGCTTGTCTTTCGGGTCTTGTGTCCATTCTATCACTCGCTGGAGGTGTATAGCATGTCTATATTTTGTGATATCGGGTAGTCCCAGGCCTCCCTGTAGTTTGGGTCTGGTGAGGGTGGCGAAATTCAGCCTCGGCGTTTTGCGGGCCCAGACGTAGGCCATCAGTGTTTTACGGGTTTGTGTTAGGAAGGTTTTGGGAATGTGGATTGGTAGGGTTTGTAGGAGATACAAGATTCGGGGGAGGATATTCATTTTGAGGACACTGATCCTACCCAGCCACGTTATGTGCGGGAGTTGCCACGAGTCGAGGTCCTTCTGTATGCGGTCGAGGAGGGGTGGGAAGTTGATGCGGTAGGTGTCCGACACATCAGCCGACAGCCAGATCCCTAAGTATTTAATCCTTTCTTTGCACCAGTGAAAAGGGAACTCTGTTTGCAGTGTAGTTGTTAGTGCTAGGGGGCAGTTTACGTTGAGAATTTCAGATTTCGTAAAGTTAATTTTCAAGTTGGAGAGGGTGCCATATAGGTCAAATTGGTGCGTGAGCTCCCTAAGTGAGGTTGCCGGGTTGGTGATTGTGAAGAGGAGGTCATCCGCGTATGCAGAGACCTTGGTGGCTCCCCAGCTACCCTCGATTCCAGTTATGCGGGGTTGGGCTCGAACTGCATTGAGGAATGGTTCTAAGCTGATGGCAAAGAGTAGGGGCGATAGGGGACACCCTTGTCTAGTGCCGTTTCTGATCTCAAATGGGTCGGAGAGAATCCCATTAACCTGCACCCGGGCTGCTGGAGCGGTGTATAGGGCCCAAATGCGCGTCATCATGTGGGGTCCCAGTCCCAGGTGTTCCAGGGTGGACCTCAGGAAAGACCAGTCTACCCTGTCGAACGCCTTCTCCGCGTCGGTCGAAACTATCAGGGCGGGGGAGTGTCCTTCTCGGGCCGCGTGGAGAAGATTGAGTGTCTTAATAGTGTTGTCCCTGGCCTCCCGGCCCTCCACAAAGCCCACCTGATCAGGGTGGATAAGGCTCGGCATCAGGGGCTGGAGGCGCAGGGATAGTATTTTGGCAAACAGTTTGAGGTCGGCGTTCAACAGGGAGATCGGCCTGTAACTGGTACATGAGGAGGGGTCTTTTCCTTCTTTCGGGAGTACTACGACGTGTGCTAGAAGCATGTTGGGGTCTAAGGGGTCTCCGTTATGTATTGAGTTGAATAGTGTAAGTAGGTGTGGGACAAGGTTGTCTGCGAACATTTTGTAGTACTTTGCCGTGTATCCATCTGGTCCGGGGCTTTTCCCCAGTTTGGCCAGTTTGATGGCTAGGCGTATCTCCGCTTCAGTGATATCTTCTTCTAGTGTAGCTATTTCTTGGGGTGTCAGCGTTGTGGTGATATTCTGTTCGATATATGTTTTTTGCCGCGCTGTGTGGGCCTCTTCTCCTTCGTGTGCGCGTGTGGTGTTGGGAGGTAGGCAGTATAGGGAGGAGTAGTATTGTCTGAAGCCCTCTGCTATAGCCTTCGGGGTCCGCAGTGTGTTTCCTGCCAGGGAGATCTTTTGAACATGGGTTTTCTGTCTCCGGGCTCTCAGCGCCCTAGCAAGCAGTTTACCACTTTTGTTTCCGTATTCATAAAACGTTTTTTGTGTGAGTTGGAACTGGAATCGTATTTTGGACGTGAGGCAGGAGTTGAGTTTCGCTCTGGTCTCTAGGAGTTGTTTGTAGGTTTCGTCTCGGAGGTCTTGTTTGTGGAGCGTTTCTAGACGCGCCAGTTGGGCAGCAAGGCGTGCTATTTCCTGTGTGCGTTGTTTTTTCAGGCGAGTGCCGTGTTTGATGAGGATCCCTCGGATAGTGCATTTGTGTGCTTCCCAGACGGTCGTTGGTGCGCTTTCTGTTGTTTGATTGGTGGGGAAGAAGTGGTCTAGTGTGTTCCTAATTTCTGTTTGGATCAGTGGGTCCTCTAAGAGTGATTCATTAAGTTTCCATGTCCATTGGGATCGAAAGGTTCTAGGATTGTCGATGGTGAGTGTTACTGGTGCGTGGTCCGACCAGGTCATGGGGGCGATGTGGGCTGAACACAGTGTGTCTAGATCCCTGTGTTGGATGAAGAAGTAGTCAATCCTCGAGTATGATTTATGTGGCGCTGAATAATAGGTGTAGTCTTTCTCTGTATGGTGTAGGATTCGCCAGCAGTCTACAAGTTGGTGAGTTGTCAAAAGGGTCCGCAGTCCTCTGAGGATGTGGTCCGGGATCGTGGAGCCCCCTTTAGATGTGTCCATTTTGGGGTCTAGAGGGGCGTTGAGGTCCCCTCCTATTATTACGGTTCCTGCACTGAACGCTTCCAATTTTCTCAGGGCTGAGGCTAGGAATGGTTTTTGGCCTTTGTTTGGGAGGTAGAGGTTCGCGAGTGTGATTTGAGCGTCCCCTATGTGTCCTTTGAGAAAAAGGTATCTGCCTTCTCGGTCTTTCTCTTCTGCTTCCAGGCGGAACTGGGTGTCTGCCGAGAATAATATAGCCACTCCCTTAGATTTGGTGGAGGGGTTATGCGCGTAGTAGCCGGTTGGGAAGTATTTATCTGAGAATTTGGGGGCTTTTGTTGCTAGAAAGTGTGTTTCTTGGAAGAAAGCTATTGATATCTTAAGTGCTCGAATTTCTCGCAGCGCTCTTGCTCGTTTTTGTGGGGAGTTCAGGCCCTTCGCGTTGATTGTGTAGAGGTTAATTCCTATCTCTGCGTGCCCGGGGGCGTGGGGGGCGAGAGGCGGTGGGCCCATCGTATCCAGGTGGCGGGGTGTGGAGTAGGGGAGGAAAAGGGGGGGGGGAGATGGAAGGGGAGGTTAGATGGGTTTGAGGGGGTAGTTCAAGCGGTGTGGTGTGTAGCGGTTGTGTCAAGTCGCAGAGGCGACTGTTGTAAGGGGTAATGTGCCACTGGTAGGTGTGTGTCCGGGAACCAGGGTCCTCGTAGTCACCTCACAGTCTCTTGGCAGTGAACCCGTGGGGCGGGTGGCGTCGGTGGTTAGGTAGGTCACCTACTTTGGGGTGTCGTCTAGTGACGTATCACTGTCTGTCAGCATCCGTCTCCTGCTGCCTAATAGTGGTGGTGTCTGGCATCCAGAGGGGTAGTACCGTTCTAGCGGATCAGTTAACAACAATGTGGATGGTCGTGATGGTCGCCCCTGGGTGTTATCTTGTTATCGTTGCGCTATTGTGTCGGGAGCGTGCATACGGATATAAGAACAGTATTCGTGAGAACAACATAATAACAGCATATCAAAACATGGTTACACAAATTATATCCCAGTATCAGGGAGAACATCAGAAACTTTTATGAACATTTAAAGATGGTTTGGGTGTGTTCGCACAGCACAGGGGGCCCCTCATGGAATAGAATGAGGTTTGCACCCCGTGGTGCGCCGTCACCCCACACCTTTTATATAACAGGGTAGGAGGAGGAGGGCAAAAAGTAAGGGGGGGAGGGGGGGAAGGGGTTCAGGAAAACAAAAACACACCCCCAACAATACACTCAATACACTTTGTTGGAACCAGTGAGCGCAGGTGTCTCCGTCGCCCGGTGGGAACCTCTCGGTTGTTCACAGGGGGCGAGGCAGAGTCGCTCTCAACAGTAATTCGGATGTACACAATTATGAGTCTGCTTGAGGAACACGGAGCATTCATCTTACGGTATGTAGTGGTTGGTGAGTGATGCGTTCCCCCCTTCTAGCGTGTTCGTGGTGTCTGAGGTGTGTTTCTGTTGGACGCCTCAGAGGTGCGTTTGATACCTGGTTGCCTGTGTTGCAGGTATGGCCTGTGTGTATGTCTGCGGTTTGATTAGATAGTGAGGGTGTCTGGGTGCATCTTGGGTGTATTTGGGGGGGTTCCCTTCCTGGTGTAGCGGATGTGTGTGTGTATGTGTGTGTGTGGGTGAGTGTTAGTGTCAAGGTGTGTAAGCTAGCCCGCAAGGTATACTTGCACTTGCGATTCGTTCTACGGTGGTGGAAGCCGTGGCCAGCAGTCCAGGGTGATGCCAGGGTGTCAGTTCAAGGCATCATGTCAGTGGTCGTCTCTATAGGGTGTTTGGAGCTTGGCGGGTGTGGGTCTATGTCCCGCATTGTGGGGCAAAGGAGTCTTGTGTGGAGCCGGCCAAGATATTGGTGCACTGGCGAGTCCTCTGGGGTTGTCTCTGTTGAGTTAGTAGCGTTCTTGGTGGTGTTGAGCAAGTCATGGACTCGGGGGGCAATGGATGTAGGCCCAGTTAGCCGGTGAAGCAAGGTGGTTCTAGGCCTTTGGGACGGTGAGATGTGGGTGGGTTACCGTTTTTGGTGGTGTCTTGGCGGCGGTGAGTCGCAATCTGCTTTCTCCCTTTGCTTTCCTGGATGCGGAGTGAAAAAAAAAAAAAAAAAAAAAAAAGGGAAAAAAAAAAGGGGGGGGAGTAGGTGTCTCTGGAGGTGCCGTATCCCTCCTGCTCCCCTCAGCGTGGTCGTTAATGCGTTGCATGGTCGTGCAGATCACGTTTTCAAACCCTCATTTTAATCAGTAAAGTAGAATGCAAACAAGACAACAAGTTGGACGTAAAAGAAGAAAGGGTGGCTAAGCCTTTGCTGAAATGAGCTTGGAATGAATAATTTGGGTGGCTAACTGGTATCCAATGTCCTTCAGTACAAGACAATTAGGTATTCTCCTTAGCAGACAACCTTAAATTTGAAAACGTGAGTAAAGTCACCTTTAATGTCCAAAGAGATGGTTGGGAGGGCAGGGACCTTATGTTGCATTATAAGCTAGTAAAAAAGTGGTATTGACGAAGCGAACAGTTCAAGGATGGAGAGTGAGCGGCTACGGCGGCAAAGGAATTTTCGTACACTTGTAATAAGAGGAGCGTCACACAGGATGGTAAGATTTTTTTTTTTTTGGACTAGATGCTAGGGTTAAATCTATTGGCATAGGGTAGGAAATTTCATAAGAATGGGGCAACTCTTGAAAAATCTTAAGTGTTGGTAGTGGGAAAACGAGCTTGTAGAGCAAAGTGAACAAGGAGGGATGTAGTTGTTGAATACAAATCGTGAGGAGTGTAGTTAGTGAGGGCTTTGTAGGTAAATGTTAACAGTTTGAATTTGATCCTAAAGGATACAGGAAGCCAATGTAATGCTTGGCAAAAACGTGAGCCGTGGGATTAACAGTCAGATAGGAAGATGAGCCTGGAAGCAGAATTCATTAGACTAAAGAGGGACAAAGCTGGTAATTGGAAGGCCAATGTGTAGTGAGATGCAGTCAGGGGGGGGACAACCATGACGGTCCTGCTCTGGCAATCCTGGGCCCCACATTCTCTCTCAGCATATATAGATAGCGATATTCGCTATCTATGTATGCAGCCGCAGGCCCCCGGCTCCCTGTACTTGTAGAGGGGGCCCAGCGGACTGCAAGTGTACTTACAAGCTCTAACTCCCGCAAGACCCGCGGCCGTCAGAGGGTTACCATGGTAACCCGTGGCAACACTGACGGCCGCGGGAGTTACAGAGAGGGAAGAGCTTGTAAGTACACTTGCAGTCCGCAATATCTATAATTAGCAGTAAATCACCAACAAGGGGTTCTCTCCACCCTTGTGAAGTGTATAGTTAAGATAACCAACAGGAGGTGATCAGCGCTTAAGATTATATATACATACAATACAGATTATGATCTTAGTATATGAATCTTTAAGTACAAAGCAAGAAACAAATTATGGAGCAGTACAGTAGATGTTTGTGAAGGGAGTACAAATGGGCAAAAGTGCGCACACACACATTTTAGAGCTGCCTCAGCTCTATTATGAAGGCCTGGATGGAATAATCCCAGTCTATGGATATATAAAAGTGAGCCTTTGGTGAAATGCGTTGTCAGGACTTATTTTATCTATTTTGTTTGATATTTGTTTTTACTTAAAGAGCGGTTTATTTCCAGCTTTTTATTTAATATTAATAAACCTTTTTTATACAATACCATCTGTGGAGTACATTCTTCATACATCCCTCCTCATCATTCCCGTTCCAGCATATATCGCTAGGTGGGGATTGTTCCACCTCAAGTTCTTCATACCAGAGAAGGGCATTGCTCTGGGTGATGTAAATAGGATATTTTCCTCCATCAATACCAATTGTTTGTATATACTATACCATTGGATTTCCTATTTTGCTTTCTTCACATATACCTACTCCATCCTGAAAACAAGCTCCAAAGACCCTCCACTTATATCCATAGACTGGGATTATTCCATCCAGGCCTTCATAATAGAGCTGAGACAGCTCTGAAAAGTGTGAGTGTACACTTTTGCCCATTTGTACTCACTTCACCAACATCTACTGTATTGCACCATAATCTGTTTCTTGCTTTGTACTTATAGATTAATTGTATGTGTGTGTATATATATATATATATATAATCTTAAACGTTGATCACCTCCTGTCTGTTATCTTTAATATTTTTAAGATGGTAGTTAAAGTATTTGGAGACCAATTGTACATGCAGAGAAAAGGCCTAAGTCACAGGTAACTCCAAGGCAGCAAGCTTGAGATCGGGTAACAGATAGATGGAGGAGAGCTTTTTGATGGGGGAAAGATGAAAACAAAGTATTTTGCAGTCTGATTTTGATTTATTTATTTCCTTCTTACGAATGTAGAAGAGATCATAGATGGGGTTATTCACTGGTTGTACAGTGCATTCAAATAAGCCAATATCCAGAGTAATACTTTTTTGGAGTTTGGGCAGTGCCCACCAATTACAGCAACATCATTTAAATAATAATTATAGAGTAAAATACCCCTGAATCAGAATTGCAGATGCTTGTCATTGTGTATTAAAACTGATAATTTCCCTGAATCAGAACTGGTATATGCTTTGGAACAAACAAGATTAGCAGATGGCAATCAATTTTTACTGCCTTCCTAAAGAACTTCTCAAAAAGTATTGCAACACAGGTAGAACCTTATCACTTAATTACAAAGAGATGTTGTTACAGAGATGGAAGGTCACAATCTCTGCCTGTAATTGTAATGCTGTGATTATAAAAAGGACTTACTGGATGCAAGGTTAAAACTCCTTATACACTTTGAATAAATGCAAGACTGATTCACTTGTAAAGTACCTTGAAATAGTGACATATTGGCAATACACAGGCAAATAGGTTAATCTTTAGACCGTGCTAACAAAGGGCAATCAATTAGTGAATACATTTTTACTATGACAAAAGAAACCGACTCATCTACTTTAAAGAAACACTGAAAAGTACCATAACCACTACATCACGCCGTAGAGCAGGGGTGTCCAACCCGTGCTTGCAGCCTGGTTGCGGTCTGCGCTGCCAGGCGCCAGGGAGCCCTTTACATTCTGTGCTCCTCCTGGACAGCTCCCTCATGCGTCCTGCAGTGAGCTTGCCACTCCTGACATTATCCCAGCATCACTACTGGGTGCGCAAGGGACCTATGCAGGAAGAGCACAGAAATCAACACTTGGCAACTCCTCCCTTAGCAAGGTAGGGAGCATGGGCGGACCTCTCAATTACTAAATGTGTATGAATGTAATTTTTGTGTATGTTTTGTTAGTGACTGTATGCACGTTATTGTATGTGCATGTGTGAGTCTGATTGTGTGTGTGCATATCTGTGATGTGACTTTGTGTGTGTGTTTAGTAGATCGCTCCCTAAGTTTGTATTGGAGTGATCTGGGTGCCAGCTCCCACTACCCTTAACACTGCAAGTGTAATTATTGCAGTTTACATAAACTGAAATATTTACCTTGCAGGCTTAAGTCCTCCTCTAGTGGCACTAGAGAATGTCAATGCCACATATGGGTAACAGATAATGGAGTTATCTACTAAACAAATTTAGATGCTTTTGTTTTATTATATATTTTAGGTGCGGCTAAAGACCATTCCTCGGTGCTAAATGCGGCCCAGGGAAGCCCAAAGGTAGGACACCCATGCTGTAGATGGTATAGTACTATGAAAGAAGTTAAATTTGTTTATGAATTGTTAACTTCTTAGCTTGGTTCCTCCCTGCCTCCTCTTAGCCAGGAGCTCTATCCATAGTGCTAAGCCAGTTAGTGCAGGGCTTAGCTCCAGACAGTTAATGGAAGCTCTTAAGTGGAGGCTTCCAGTTCTCCTCAATATTGTAGTGGGGAACAGTGGGCCCTAGGTAAGAATTCAAATCATTACTAAATTGTTAGACTATTTGCCAGGGGACTTCTGACACCATAACTACAACTGTACGGTATGTGGTGGTACAGGTGTTTGGAGTGTTCCTTTAAATAAAATGTTCCAAAATCCACGTCTGGATTGTTTTTCTTCTTCTTTTTTTCTATTCCTAGTTTATTCAGCCACCATACAATGCAACCCAGCAATGTTTCAACCCGTTCTGGGGTCTTTGTCAAGCCTAGGGTCATGCTTTTTAAAGTGCATATGTTGGGTTGGGTTGGGTCAGGTCAGAAGCTGAGTACACAAGTTAATCACAAAACGTATGAAACCAAAATTACAAAAGCTGGAGTGGCTCTCAAAAAAAAATTAAATCATTATAAATGGTTTCATATCTTAACAAGATTGAAATATGTAGATGGCGTAGATTTTTTTTTTTTTTCTAATTATATCCTTGATTAGAACTTAGTATGTTTGATAAGAGTAATCAACAGTTAAACACATTTTGCTTAAATTGGGTAACATCTTTAAAAATTATGAATAGGAATGTCTTATAATTATGGTCACAATCTGAATAAATATTGAGTTCACCTGAAATGTATTGTGCTTATTTTATGAAAGTCTACTAACCAGTTTTAGATCCACTCCAAATTTTGCAATTCACTTGTATATCCACCTGTTTGATACTTTACAATTTATGCATAATTAAAAAAAAAAAAAAAAACCTAAAAATAATAAATCCAGATTTGAAATTTGGAGCATTTATTTTGAACATTGCTGAAGCTGTTTAAGATGGAGACCTATGCTCTTGGTTATTAATGCACATTAGATCCTGTCTGCTTATTGCTATTAGGTCACTTGAAAGAGGTAAATTGTAACTGGCATTGAAAATGGTTGCGAGTATAAATAAGTAGCTTTAAACAATCTTCATGAGTAAAGAAAATAGCTTAGGCTAATAAATATTAAAAATACAAAACAAAAAACCTCCAACTTTATTAATAATGCAACACAGGGAGGTGATCATGTTTCACATTCATCTTCAGGAATTGTTGTTGCTGTAATGAAAATGGACTGCTCTATAACATCAGGAGGGAATGCGTCAGGAGGGCATATCCTTTGCTCTGTAACATCGTCCGAAAGTTGGTTTGAATTAATAGACTCAACTATGACTTCACCAGGGCCCACCTCAAGTTCATGTGGACTCTGCAAGCCAACCACCACTGATGGACTCTGCAAAGTGACTATAACAGGCTGATTCTGCAAACCAGCCACCACTGATTGGTTCTGCAGGTCAACTATTTCGGCTGAGTTTTGCAAACCGACCACCACAGTTTTTTCATCTTCAATTATTAGATTGCGAAGTTTCCTTTGACGTGGATTGTAATTTTCAATTCGGTTATGAATTTCCATATGGCGTCGAAGATGTGCCTTAAAAAGCAATCATAGAATGCATAAGAACATGTTTAACATGCAAGAAAACTGATTAACTATGTATACTTTAAAATAAAATTATGATTTTCGATCCTGCTCCTGATTAATGCAAGTTTGAGTACATTACTTGGCTGACAGACCTATCTCTAATGTTGTAAGACAGTGCTATCTGACATTGGGTTAGAGGATGGATTTTGTTCAACAAACATGTGGGAGGAACAGAGACACAAACTACAACATAATTTATATGTATGCTTATATTGTGTCTTAAAGGAGCACTATAGGGTCAGGACCGCAAACATGTATTCCTGACCCTATAAGGTTAAAACCACTATCTAGCCACCCTGGTCTCCTCATGTCTCCCTAAATATAGTAAAATCTTACTTGTGTTCAAGTCTGCAGCTGCTTACTTTGTCCCTGTTTCCTTTAGACCTGCCTGCTGACATCAGCAGAAGTGGTAGCCTGTTTCAATCACAATGCTTCCCCATAGGATTGGCTGAGACTGACAAAGAGGCAGATCAGGGGCAGAGCCAGCACAAGTCAAACACAGCCCTGGCCAATCAGCATCGCCTCATAGAGATGAATTGAATCAACGAATGAGGAAAAAATGAGGAAAGTTCAGTGTCTGCATGCAGAGGGAGGAGACACTGAATGTTTTGATGCATTTTAGGCAGCAATGACCCAGGAAGGATCTCTAACAGACATCTTAGGAGTGGCCAGTGAAGTTATTGCTAAGCTGTAATGTAAATACTGCATTTTCTATGGAAAAGACAGTGTTTACAGCAAAAAGCCTGACGGTTATGATTCTACTCCCCAGAACAAATTCAATAAGCTGTAGTTGTTCTGGTGACTATAGTTTCCATTTAATAGTATCATCAGGCAGTCAATACTCCACACCAAGCATGTCAAACTCGCGGCCCGGCGAGCCGTGAGTACATGCTGGTGCTATAGCAGAATAGGCACCTGCTTTCCCCACATTGCAGGTGCCTACTCTGCTAACACTTACCAGGCCGGGGGGAGGGAGCTCAGTGTTGTACTCCTCACTGCTCCCTCGCGCGCACAGTCTGTAGTGAAGCCGGGCGCCGGAATAAGATGTCCTATTCCGGCACCACTAAACCGCGCGAGGGAGCAGTGAGAAGATAGAAGGACCCCAGGGAGATGCTCTGCATCGGCTCCAAAAGGTAAGGAGCAATAAAGAAAAGAATGAATGTGTGTGTTTGTGTGTGAGTATGTGTGTGTGTCTGCGGGAGGATCAAATTTGGCACATGGTGGTAGAGGGGGTGCTGTGGTTTAGTGGGGGAACTGGGATTTAGTAGAGCGCAATGCTGTTTATTTTATACTGTACTTTTTAAAATAAACCTACGTTTCTATGAAATTTTTTTTGTTTTTTTTGCGTCCCACATAAACTTAAACCTTACGTGGCCCATTCCAGATTGAGTTTCACATGATTGCTCCACACCAACATGGATTCATTCTAATCACAGCACTACTGTTGCACGCTGCTCTCCCACAGCTCAGAATTGCTGGTTGTTTTAAATGCCCTCACTCATACCAGATATGCATTCCCAGTAAACACACCATGATGTCATGCCTTAAATCTTCACTCACTGTTCTAATATTGACCAGCACAGATTTACTCTACTACAGAAGCCATATGTATGTATACATACCCTTCATATAAACACCACTTTTAGACATTGCAGATGCACTCTCCATGGGCAAACCTATGCAATTACCGGAATCACATTCACGTCCTCACATGTACACAACTGGCGCACTTATCACACCGACACCACAGATTTTGTCTTACAGTGACAAACTCCATTTCCATTCACTACACATGCACTCTCCCAGCAAATGCCATATTCCTTTCTTCCTTACACGCGCACACGCACACACACACAATCATAGATCTATACACGCAATAACAGCCCTATACACACAGTCACTTACATACACATGCAATCACAGACCTATACAGTCACATACATACAATCATAGATCCACACATGCACATACAATCACAGACCTATACACAGTCACAAGTACACACAATCACAGCTGCGTTAACGTGGCAGTCACATGCTAGCCTTTGCATTTTAAGACAACATACTTCTCTTAACCTGTCCCTCTTCATCATAGCCATCGTCTTGCCACCATAATTCTTCATCTGCTGCTGTCCCTGCACTTTTGTGCATGTGAGACAGTTTACCACAGGGATACCGCAAGATAATGCCTACATAAGCTCATGCATGAGCAATAAGGTGCCATCATGCAAGATACACGTATCTATCAGCGATTGCAACCAATGGTAGATAGGAAATGACAGCAAACTCCATATTTTGCCAAAGATAACAAAAAGCATAAGACAAAATATTCCCTACTTTGTCTCCTTTTAGTTACACTGGAATTTCAAAGAAATTACGACTCATTCAAAACTATATCTTCCTAAAGAAAGCCTTTCTATGCTAGTGTTTCTGTCAAAAGTGCATTTAGTTACTTCCTCCTCAGAGATCACAAATTTACCATGTTCACAAACAGAGATGCACTTTTTCTTATATACTCACACATCATAAACACTGATCAGCCAAAACTGACAGGTGAATTGAATAACATGGATTATTTTGTTACAATGACACCTGTCAAAGGGTGGGATATAATAGGCAGCAAGTGAACAGTCAGTTCTTGAATTTTTACGTGTTGGAAGCAGGAAAATGGGCAAGGGCAAAGATCTGAGTGATTTTGACAAGGGTCAAGTAGTGATGGCTAGACAACTGGGTCAGAGCAGGTCTTCTGGGGTGTTCTCAGTGTGCAGTGGTTAGTACCTAACAAAAGTGGAGCAAGGAAGGACAACCGGTGAACCAGCATCAGAGTCATGGGCGCCCAAGGCTCAGTGATGCAAGTGGGGAGCGAAGGCTAATACGTTTGGTCCAATCACACATACGAGCTATTATAGCTCAAATTGCTGAAAAACTTCATGCAGGTCATTTTAGAAAGGTGTCAGAACACGGGGACCTTACTCCCAAGATGGCTGGACGTACTTTTGAGCAGTTAACTTGTTTAAACCGACACAATATCGCTGGAAATGTCCCAGAGCAACTAGCAGTCCAACGACTCACCGGAGAGGACATTATCGGTCCTGTAAACCACAGCAGCGACAAGCAATTGGTCCGTCCAGACCTGTGGCCTATTGAAGCTGGTGACCTAAAGGCTGGAGAGGAAGATGATCTTCTGAACTGACTCTCAAGGCTCAAAGCGTCTACACAACAGCCCCGTCACTTCCCCCCACTGGTTCTTATACCTGGGGAACTTGCTCCTTTGCTGAATTTGAACAGACCTTACCGATTCTGTCTTAGCATTGTGTCCAAGATGGCCGCCCAGCCGCAGCTTGAGGTTATAGCATAGTTGGCGTAACGTTTATTATTTACACTCAGGTCTAGATAGTTTATTCCTTTGCAAATTGTGCATTTTTTTTATTTCTAAATGCCTTACCACAAGTAATATTGACTTCCTTATCAAGACCATGTTGGGGCATGACAAGTCAATAAGTATTCTTCCGCACATCAAAAAAAAAAGGGTCAGAACACAGTGCATCTCAGTTTGCTGCATATGGGCTGCGTAGACACAGACCAGTCAGAGTGCCCATTATGACCCTTGTCCACCAAAAGCACCTTCAATGGGGACGTGAGCGTCAAAACTGGACGGAGAAATGGAAGAAGGTTGCCTGGTCTGATAAAGTTTTATTTTAGATCAGTTGGATGGCTGTGTGTGCGTAGTTTATCTGGGGAAGAGATGACAGCAGGATGCACTATGGGAAGAAGGCAGGCTGTGTAGACAGTGTTATGCTCTGGGCAATGTTCTGCTGGGAAACCTTTGGTCCTGGCATTCATGTGGATGTTCCTTTAACAGGTATCACCTATCTAGAGATTGTTGCAGAGTACATTCACCATTTAGTGGCAATTGTGCTCCTTAATGTTAGTGTCCTCTTTCAGTTGGATAATGCACCACTGAAAACATTTTTCAGGAATGGTTTGAGGAACATGACAAAGATCAAGGTGTTGCCTTGGCCTCCAAATTCCACATATCTCAATCCGTTTGAGCATCTGTAGGATGTGCTGGAATATCAAATCTGATCGATGGACCTCGCACCTTTCAGGACTTAAAAGATTTGCATATAGCACAGGACACTTTCAGAGGTCTCATGGAGTCCAAGTCTCAACGCATCAGAGCTGTTTTGGAAGCATGAGGGGGACCTACATGATATTCGGCAGATGGTTTTAATGTTGTGGCTGATCAGTGTATAACAAATGCATTCATACTGCATATGATGTATATCATTTGTGAGCTCTCTCCATAGCAAGGCAGAATAAAAAACTAACTGGAAATCGTGAAACTAGCCTTATATTACATTGATTCAGCACTTTTTACAGCCACATCTTCTCTCCCTCGCTACAGCATTACCTAATCTCAGCACATTCCTTTCACTACTCCCACAATGATTTTTTTTTTTAAAAGACATTGCAAAAACGTACTATTGCATTCCTTAACCAAGCGCTTCACACAGGTGGCTATTTCTTGTAACCGACCCCCAAATTGGATCTAAAATTGTACTTTAGGTATTCACTAAAATAATTCACGGATCAACTTGTGCATTTCACTCTATGTATTCATCGTAACATGCACACCCTTCGTTAGGACCATCTTGTATCCAGGGTTCTGTCCTGACGCCCTGGGTTTGTATCATGTCTCGATTTGGGACTACAGGGAAATGTCCCCAACCAGCAAAAAACTATACAAACTAAGGGTAATAAGTGGCATGCTCACTTTATGGCAGGCATGACCATTGTTGAGGAAGATTCTTGACACTGAGCAGTTATAGGGACCTCTGGACCCCCATATTAAAATAGAATTGTCCCCATCACATGGTCAACATACTGGGGGGTGAGGGGAGTTGAGGACATTGAGCACCACTGAAAGCCTTCAGGTACAGTGGGTCATCTGGACCTCCATATCAAAGCAGCTCGGTAGTCTGCCTATGATGAAAGAATATGAGACAACATACACAGATCCTTCATTGCTAATATTTTACTAATGTAATAATTATTTTATTGACTTTGATTTTGATTTTAAAAGAGATTATGCATTTATTATTTTGCTTTTACATCCCTTTTATTGTTCATCTTTTATTGTTTATCTATTTATTTATTCTTTATGTTATTCTACATTGTAGATAAGTTGATTCATATTGTTAACCCCTTAAGGACGGAGCCAAATGTACACGTTGTGAACAAAACAAAATGTAAACAAAACCTGGCATTTGCGCTACATGTCTGTCCAACCGTAATTCACCTCTTTCATAGTAAATACACCCACACTTATTATATATCATTTTATTCAGGGGAAACAGGGCTTTCATTTAATATCAAATATTTAGCTATGAAACATAATTTAATATGAAAAAAAATGGGAGAAAATAAGATTGTTTTTGATTTTTTTTAGTTCTACATGACATTTTAACTGTCTAAATGTCATAATACTGTTTGCTTTTACTGAAATAAAATACACATTTGTATTCAGTGATGTCTCACGTGTAAAACAGTACCCCCTATGTACAGGTTTTATGGCGTTTTGGGAAGCGTCAAAATATATATAGTACGTTGCATTTGAAATTGAAATTCGCCAGATTGGTTACGTTGCCTTTGGGACTTTATAGTAGCCCAGGAATGAAATTTACACCCATAATGGAATATCATTTGCAATAGTAGACAACCCAAGGTATTGCAAATGGGGTATGTCCAGTCTTTTTTAGTAGCCATTTGGTCACAAACACTGGCCAAAGTTAGCGTTAGTTTTTGTTTGTGTGTGAAAAATGCAAAAAAATGCCAATTTTGGACAGGGTTTGTGACTAAGTGGCTACTAAAAAAGACTGGACATACCCCGTTTGCAATACCTTGGGTTGTCTTCTTTTGAAAATGGTATGCCATCATAGGGGTAATTTTCATTCTTGGGCTACCATAGTGTCTCAAGGGCAACCTAACCAATCTGGCGAATTTTAATGTGAAAAAAATGAAACAAGCCTTATATTTGACGCTGTATCTTTTGAAAACACCATAAAACCTGTACATGAGGGGTACTGTTGTACTCGGGAGACTTCGCTGAATACAAATATTCAAAACAGTAAAAAGTATCGCAGCAATAATATCATCCGTGTAAGTGCTGTTTGTGCGTGAAAAATGCAAAAAACTTCACTTTTACTGGCGATATCATCGTTGTAATACATTTTACTGTTTTGAAACACTAATATTTGTGTTCAGCGAAGTCTCCCAAGTAGAACAGTACCCCCCATGTACAGGTTTTATGGTGTCTTGGAAAGTTATAGGGTTAAATATAGTGCTAGCAAATTAAATTCCCTTTACTTTCGGCATGAGTTGTCAGGCAGGTCCCGCTAATTGTAATTAATTAAGATACCTTAGGGGGCTGAGGAGGCAGGATCCGCCACGGGGGGCTCCCTGGGTAAGTAGGCAAAAACCGGAGGGCGTACTATTACGCCTGGCGGCGTTTAGAGCCGCCTAATATAGGGCGTAATAGTACGCCCTCCGGTCTGAAGGGGTTAATATCCATCTTTTATTATGTGGATTTATTTATTTTCATCTTACTAAGTGAATTTAAGAATATAAACTTTTCCCCTATTTTGTTTGGGGATAGAAGCAGAGGATTAACTGTATTGCTAATAGCTAGTTCACTATTCATTAATATGTATAACCTCTAATGACCCAAAAAGGACGGTTTTCTTTTTATAACGTTATCTACTCTTGCCCTCCATAATATGGCCGCTTTTTACTGTCCTTGCCCTCCCCAAGATGGCCGCGACCTACCTCGATCGCTGGTCCATCCCACCTTTCCCTGCCCTAACGGCCGCGGATACCGCCGCTATAGTAAACTACATTACCCATGCGGCTAAGCTCCTAAAATGCGGAAGTGCCGCGTGTCATGTAATAAAACTCTTTCACTTATTAAAAAGTTTTCCCACCCTCGTTTTAAATAAATAATTATGAGAAACATTTTATTATATCCTCTATTTACTTCAGCTAAAGTGTTTATATATGCCAATTTTTACCCTATTCTAATTGGTTGAACTATTTTGGCGCCAATCTTTTAATTATGTTCCTATAGAACACCAACTGCCAGGTATTGTATTCTATTCCATTTGATAAAGTCAGTTGACGAAACGCATTATGGAAATTTTATAACTGTGTATTTATTAATTAAAGGTTTTTTGGTCATTTGCTTGTGCCAATTATCTTTATATAAATGTTTTTTTTTACTAATTCCTGGCCTTTTGTTATCCTATTTTTGTTTTTTTTATCCTGCTTTTTATTACCCTGGTTTTAAAATTCCTGGAAGTTTCCTGTACCCCAAGAAATCCTAGATGGGGATCATTCCACCAACGCTGACATCAAAGAGCAGTAAGTCTACTCTCCACTTGTAAGTACCATTTTAATTAATTACCACTCAGATTGTTATACAGAGAGCACTATTGGCGGTCTCTTTTATCTTCTCTTTTTTGAGTATTGCCCCTGTACATAGCACTTTAAAGACGACAGTGAGGATCCCTAGTTTGGACTTTCTTTTATATTTACTTCCATCACTGGAATTGGACAGTATTTACTTACGATTTACTGTGGCGCAGCCTTTGCTCTTATTTTTTTCCCACTTTGTGGCATAGTCCACAGATTTAACCAATGTAGTTGATAAAACTTTAGGTAAACGTTTGCTTAGTTGTCAAAGTTTAGGAATTGCACTAAACATAAGCAAACGGGAGCAGTGAATATCATTTAGAAACACATGGAAGACTTTCATGGTTGTATTTATGTATTGCCCTCTAAGGGGGAGGAGGTGGGGTTTGGAACGGGGACATGCATATGACTGACTGTAATATCCCAGTGACTTTTAGTTTAGAGACAGGCCACCAATAAGAACCTTGAGATTTCCAGTACCCACTATTTTTTTTTTTAAATCTGTTTTATTAAGTTTCTGTGTGTATAGAAACTGAGTTTTGTCAATACAAACATTTTCAGTAGTGAGGACTCGCAGGTTCTGGTTGCATACAAAACAGTAAGGCTGCGTACATAGTAGGTGAGGTGTTCATTATGTAGGTCTATACCAGGCTCATAGAGGCTGGGTGTTTTAAACAAGTGCACAACAACAATCAGCACATGATGTGGTACAGTACTTCCCTTCTCCACATGACACCAATGTGTGTAGCTGTAGGCCATCCCTTGGAGTGTCATGTTTTTTGTGTGTAACCTGTAACCCATGGTACTCCGTGCTAGGTATCTAAAGAGGAGCTACGCTATGGTGGGGTCTTAACCATACCGGGTGTAGTTGACTTTCAAGGGGCTCCATGTGGCTACTACGGCTTTGCATTGCATACAAATATGGACCTGTGTGTTGCATGTGATTACAAGGCCTGTCATGGTTCTGTCCGTCCCAGCTATCCCACCCTTTAAGGGTTTGCGCATGTCCTTAAGTCATTGGTAGAAACCGTGATAGGCGTGAATGAGGTAATTATAGTGTTGTCTTTCTACGGTGCACTGACTGATCCCGGACAAGATACAGGCTTATCATTATAGCGTTAGTGTGTCTTATCCATTTGCTCGTGTATATGTAAAGGTTACAGGTGAAAATCAGAAGTAGGTTGGTAGAGAGGAAAGAAGAGTTGCCCCGGGGCCTAAGTATAGGTTAGGTAGGGTGGAATAAAGTAGGCAGGGTTGGTCACGCCCTGACGGGCCAGCTGTCCCCCCGCGCGTCCCCCCCACCCTTTCCATCCCTCTATCGGCTACGGGACACAAATGCGAACCATGGCCGCCACATCTCTGCATGTCTGTCCCCCCTACCAAGTAGTGAGGCTTGGATCGCCTCGGATCCCTGAATGTCCTCCACCTTACAAATCCTCCATTCGGGGTGCCTCCGTCTTCTTCCAATATAGCGGGATCAGGGCTTTAGCCGCATTGGGCAAGTGACGCAGGATCGATTTTTTGTACATGGCAATCGACATCTTTGAACCAGTACCCACTATTGAGGTTTTAAATGTATGTTTACTTAGTCCTAGCATGTCATGTCTCATGAAGGGGTTGTCAGAATATCACAAGATTTGCTCAAACCTCTGTATGAATATGTTTAAATTAATTACTATGGCAATGCTTACATTTACAAATAAATAAGAAAAATAGCGAACCAAACCCAAAATCTTACTTGTCGCGTAAACTTGTAGCCACATTCAGTGCATTCAAACTTTCTGACTCCTTTGTGTCGCTCCACATGCACCCGCAGCTGTTCAATAGCTACAGACAGAAATACACAAATAAAGTGAATGGATAAACAGATAAAATGCAATAAAGTACAACTCAGCCAAAGCACAATGTAAATGTTCTATTTAATTACCTGCTAAATCTAAATTCCCTTTGTTTACAAAACTCTTATTAGGAGCCGTAAACAAAGATCAAAGTGTTACTAGCATACTCCTAGCTGATAGATGATTAACACAAAACAAAGAACAAAAACAAAAACACGGTGGGTTCAGTTACCAGTATGAAAGGAAAGAAAAGAGAAAAAACAAACAATAAAACAGGATTGACAAGCACTACCCAGAACATGTATTTCAGTATACCAAGAAAACGCCTCTCTTGGTCCTATTATGGCCCTATCCTCCTATCTCAACAATTATATCAAATGTGTAGAAATTTGTATAGGGATCTCCAAAGCAAATTAAGATGGGCTCCAGTACAGATTAAGAAGATTCATTTGTTTCCCATGAACAAAATTAGGTTAGGACCAACAGTGTAGAAAAACCATTAACTATGAGTTTTAGGTTATTATGGCCATAATAGAAGACTGGATTGTATTCATTTTTCATTGCAGTGTGTTTTTAAAGGGGCAATGTAGACACTATAATTTCATCTCACTGCATTGGTTATAGTGCTTAGAGCCACTGGCACTGTCCCTCCATTCAATATCAAACCAATCTGAGCAGTTTTAACACTAGGATTCCAGGGTACACACAGCCTGGCCCCAACTGGACGTATGGCTCAGGCAGAGATTGCACACTTCCTTTTAGCCATACAATTTCATACAATCAATGGCCCTGGAATAGGCTGAAAGCAGTCAGCTAACACTTTCAGCCATTCACAGTCACTCATTGCTGCTCAGGCTAATGCTTTCTCATTAGACCATGCAAACTCTCATCTAGCATTAAAACATTAAAAATGGTTTAACGTTGAATGAAAGGACAGGGTTAGGGGACTCCAGACACTATAGCCACTTCAATGTAATGAAGCAGTTATAGTGCCTGTAGTGTCTCTTTAAGTAGTTTAAAGGACCACTATAGTGCCAGGAAAACATACTAGTTTTCCTGGCACTATAGTGCCCTGAGGGTGCCCCCACCCTCATAGCCCCCCTCCCGCCAGGCTCTGGGGAGAGGAAAGGGTTAAAACCTACCTTTTTCCCAGCGCCGGCCGGGGAGCTCTCCGCTTCTGATCCTCTTCGGCTGAATGCGCATGCGCAGAAGGAGCTGCGCGCGCATTCAGCCAGTCTCATAGGAAAGCATTTATAATGCTTTCCTATGGACGCTGGCGTCTTCTCACTGTGAAAATCACAGTGAGAAGCACGCAAACGCCTCTAGCGGCTGTCAATGAGACAGCCACTAGAGCCTGGATTAACCCATTTATAAACATAGCAGTTTCTCATTAAGCTGAAGTGGTCTGGGTGCCTAGAGTGGTCCTTTAAGATTGATAGATATGGCAATGGAAAAACAATGAATGCTCCATTTACCATTAGAGTTTAGAAATTTGGCACAGGGAAACAAATTTAGACGACATGGAATGTCAGCTGACCAAATTTGGACGAAACGGACATCATGTGGAAGTGGGATTTTTGGAATGTGTCAAAATAGTTTGGCACAGAACCCAGGGATGACGCCAGTTGCCTGGTAATACCAAAACCACGGCAATGATCTGAACTGGTTGGGGTGCTATAAGTTCTTAAACAAAACCTGGTGGTTAAAATGCAATGTTCCTAAAATAGGTTTCTTTTGCTTTATAATTGCCAAATATGTATTTTTTTTTTTAATTGCTTAATTGCGTTTTAAGGCACACTCACCTCTTTCCCAACAGTTCCAGGGCTGCAATAAGCCTCCCTGCATGTGCGTGAAGCCTCTTAGTCGTGTCTCTCTGAATGGCCCATGTGCACGGAACATTAAATGAAGCTTTGCCAGTGATCAACCAGTAGGCAGGCTTTCTTGCAGACAGAGATCGGCATATAGTCTATGCTGATAGTCTGTCTGCCAAGAGGGATGGGGAGGGCAACTGTTTAGGACTTCTTGCAATAAATTTATACAATTGCTAGCAATTTCACTAGGACAATGTGTAGATCAAGACTTATGAAGATTTAATTTTAGGTGAGTGAAAAGTAGCAGGACACGTATGCTTTAAGAATAACATTGCACACAATTTTACAGCGACAAACCTGTTGTAACTGACGTGGACAAAGTTTGCTAAAATTTACTAAAATGATAAAAGAGAAAGAAAATCACAATTCTCAGTAAGCATCGGTCACATTTATGCTATTGATGTTTTTTCAGAGTACTGAACCCAGCAAACACGTGATGCATTTAATTTGTTTCAAATAGAAAGTGAGAATATATAGAGAATTAACTGCCCTCTGCTGTCTGAACTCGGTAATAGTCTGGCAGAAATCAAAGATTTTCTACGTTTTTCTAAATTGTGACCTAAATTTGTAATCTGAATTTGAATTCCTAACAATTTATAAGTCGAAGAATAACTCTGAAAATTGTTTTTTCCTGATTTTTACAACTGATCTGTTCTTCCAAGATTCCCCCAGTCAAACAAACTCTGGGAGATGAGAGCACTGTTTAGTTATGGTCCATTATGGCTGTATATGGAAACATATTATTTTATTATTTATATAGCACCATCAGATTCTGTAGTGCTGTACAATGGATAACTATAAAATCTGTACAGCGTATCTGTATAAAAAGCATTCATGGGGCGCGTGGCCTGACTGCCGATGGAGTGAGACACACTTCACCCTAGCTCCTAGGCCTCAACCTGCCAAGCCTTTAGAAAAAGCGTCAAAAAGCGTTAAAAACTTCTACAAAATGGGGCAAACAACTACAGGACAGCTATGCACGACCCCAGCAAGGCACCCGCCCGGCCCGATGAACGGGTTCTTGTCTACACCACAAGGCCTCCGCAGTGCCAGGGACACCGTCGCCCGCCTCCCCCGGATCCAGTACCGGGGACTCGAGTAGAAACTCACCCGGCAGCAGGCTCCTTGTCCCAAATATCAGCGGACATAGCATTAATCTCTGCAAGTATGCTAACCCGCAAGGACAAGAACGACCTTGTGGTAGAGCTGCGATCCATAATACGAGAAGAGATTGCAGCAGTTAGGAGCAACCTCAGCGCACTGGAGCAGCGTGTGGACGAACTGGAAGCGGACCGCTTTCAAAACGAGCAACGCCAACAAGCCACAGACCTAGCGACCACGAGGCAAGGCAACATCCCCCTTGGCCTCCGCCGACAGATCGAAGACCTCGACAACCGAGGCCGTCGCAATAACATCAGGGTCCTGGGCTTGCCAGAGGCGGAGGGAGAAACACTGCAGGAGATCCTCACGGGCCTGTAGCATTGAGAGGGCACATAGGGCCCTAAGAGCCCCCAGGAGAGATGGCTTACCAAGGGACATAATCTGCTCGCTGGCATCCTTCCAGCTGAAAGAAACCATAATGCAGGAGGCCAGAGCGCAACAAACAGATAACCTTCATGGACACCCAGATCTCCCTATACCAGGACTTATCCACGATCACACTCGACGCCTGCCGGGCCCTGAGGCCATTCACTCGAATGTTGCAGGAGAGAAGGATCCCCTATAAATGGGGGTTTCCATTTAGCCTTCAGGCTAGGGTAAGCAATATTTGGCACATCATCCGCTGGCCGAATGACGTGTCCCGCTTCCTTCAAGCCGCCAACTTTCCTGCTGTACCTGTGCCGAACTGGATCCTGGAAGGCCCTTCAGCACGAGCAATGGGACAGACAGAGGCCGCACATAACCTCCAAATGGAATCTGGACTGCAACGATGCAGAGGGGGCCCAGAAGAATAACTGACAGGCGTGAGGTGCCCACGTGAGCTGAGACCTCTCCCGAGAACCTTCCCAAATCCACATATGATAAGAAGCTGACACCCCCGATGGCACTACAGCCCAAATCTGGACAATCGCAAACCTGGGATCTGGTATGTACTCAAATTGGCAACAGCCGGACAGTTTAGCTGGGGAGGTAGGGAAGTACAGGGAGGGGACCTGCTAGGGTAGAAGCCGGCCCAGGGAGAGCAATCCACAAGGGAGAAATCCACCCATGGAACCGCGAGGGTGGGAGGCGGGAAAGAGCAGCGGAGTAAAGCAAAAGGGACCTTGTGGAACCCGGCAGAACCGCACAAAAACCCTGAGTGCATCTTGGGATGCAGTGCCGACCCACATCAAACATAAGCCGGCTGCCTGCTCACACAATGGCAGTCCTGAACCGCCCCCCTATTTCTTAAGTGCACCATCGCAGACCACACCTATACCTTTGCATGCCTGTATAGCTCCAATAGAAAACAGCATATTCATTAGTCGGATGCTGGCCAAACTGGGGAGCTTCAGGGAGGGCCTGCTGGTGGTTGCGGGGGACCTGAACCTACCACTTGACCCTCGCCTGGATACCTCCAGGGGCCACAGTGCGGTCCCCGCACACTGCCTACGGGCGGCGCTCCAGTCCCTGTACAAGACGAGGCTGGAGGGCGAGTCATCCAGAAGACCGGACTACACCTATTACTCGGCCATCCACGCACATTACAGCCGTATAGATTACATATTCCTCTCACAAGAATATCTGACGCTACTACATGGAACAGACATAGGGACGATGGAACAATCTGACCACGCACTGGTGTTAACGCACACAAGCTTCCCACTCTTCAAGCCTAGAGAAAGACAATGGAAACTTAATGAGACCCTCCTGGACGACTCGGAAGTCACTACCATGGCAGCACACACATTGACCCAATATTTCATGACGAATGACACCCCAGACATCACACCACTTACGCTATGGGAGGCACATAAGTGTGTCATTCGAGAACATCTCATAGCAGTTAGCACCAGGCGCAAGAAAGACCGTAAAGCACGTACGACTCACCTGTCTAAACGAATCGCCGAACTGGAACAGGAACATAAACGTACACTAGACGAAGGGACCTATTTCCTCCTTATTGAGGCTCGCAGAGAACTCAAAAACATACTCTCACAGGGACTGCTGCTTACCACGCGAAAGACAGCCAAGTTCTTCTATGAGCACTCTAATAAAAGTGGCAGACTGCTTGCAAAAATGCTACAGGAGAAACGGAGGACACAACACATCCATAAGATCTGCCCGCAGAGAAGAGGCGTCATACGTCTCCCCGAAGGCATCCTGAACGCGTTTCAAAAGTACTATTTGGCACTGTACGACCAAACACAAAACCAATCAGACACGGCAACATGACATCACCAGGAGCGAATTACCGCTTACCTTGAAAGCCACGTAGCCCGCAAACTTACCCCGGAACAAGAAGCCGAACTAGACCAACCCCTGACAATCGAAGAGCTGGCAGGCGCACTGAAAGTAACCAAACCCCACAGAGCACCCAGACCGGATGGCTTGCCCATATCATACATACGCACCTTCAAGGAGATCCTAGTACCGAGACTTTTAGAAGGATTCAACTCGCTACGAACAGGCAGTCAGTTCCCTACGGACATGCTGAGAGCAACAGTCACAATCATCCCGAAGGACGGTAAGCTAGCTACAGACCAATTTCGTTTCCGAACGCAGACCTGAAAATCTTCGCCAAGGCCCTGGCGCTCAGAGCCCCCCGGGTGCTACCTGACTTAATACACCCAGACCAGGTCGGTTTTATAGCCGGGAGGGAGACCCGGGACAATACTATTCGGGCCCTTAATGTTATCCATGCGGCCACAGCTGGCAAACGAGAAATGGTGCTTCTTGCCGAAAAGGCGTTTGACCGCGTGGATAGGACATTCCGATCTGAATCCCCACGGCACATGGGGTTCGGACTGTACTTACAAGGAGTACAACGAAGTATCCAACATAAAACTCAACTTGGATAAATCAGAAGCTATGCCGTTGGCCCAAGATGCCTCTAACGCAACAACTCCAAACACACTTTCCGTTCAGGATTTGTGCAACAAAACTCAGATACTTGGGAATCTGGCTACCAAAGGAACTCATACACATATACCAACTGAACTTCACGCCCCTCCTCATGACCCTGCAACAGGACCTTAAAAAATGGGCAACCCAGTACATCTCATGGTTCGGTCGGATAAATGCAATTAAGATGAACGTAATGCTCCGAATCCTATACTTGTTCCAGACGCTGCCTACAACCATCCCGCGAACGTTCTTCCAGACGCTTACAACCAATATACGACAGTTTGTCTGGAATCAGCGACCCATACGTATCCGAAGGACGATCTTGGAGCGACCGAAGAACTTGGGAGGAGCAGGACTACCATCGGTACTCACATACTACCAGGCGACCCACCTACACTGACTGGTCGACTGGCTCGCCAGCCCGGCCACCAAACAATGGGTGGATATGGAGCTACAGCAGGCGCAGGGGAAGAGCCCCTCCTTGCTGTGGCTAGGAGGAGCCGCGATCGGAGACATGCACACAGGAAACCCGATGATCAACTCCACACTGAGGGTCTGGTGCTGGATAAGATACACCAAACAACTCACCACATCCCCCAACCCCCTCACTCCCATAACCAACAACCCAAGACTGGCGGGTGGACTCAATCCTGCCTCCCTGAAGAACTTTCAGGCATCAGACTGGATATACTTACGCCAATGTTGCACTGGATCGAAACTCTGATGCCAGACCGCAGACCGACAAGACTAGACTAATTTCACTACCACTAGCAAATAACATACTACTCCACGATAACAGGAAAAGACCACATACACCGATCGTTGTTACAACTATGCACGGCCAGGCAGCACCTCTTGCATGGCGTATCAACGGCATACGCAACGCTACAGCAAAACTGAGACAGGAGCCCACTGGGCTTTACAGAGCATTGGGAGAAAGACAGGAATAGAACTCACGGATCCCGAATGGGATAAGATCTTCCAGCTGACGCATAGGGGGAACATAAGCTCTAAATACCAAGAATGTAATTATAAAATATTGACAAACTGGTACAGGACCCCGGACATCCTCCGGCATGTAACGAGTCAATACCCGGTGAATGCTGGAGATGTGGAACGGAAACAGGCACGGGACTCAACATTTGGTGGACGTGCTCACTCATCGCACCATTTTGGCGGCTGATTCACCACACGATCAGAGAAATCACTGATGCGGACCTCCTACTACAACCTCTGACGATGCTGCTTAACCACACGCAAATACCACTGAAAAGGTATAAAAAGGGACTCACCATACACCTGCTCACAGCAGCAAAAACACTTATACCGACACACTGGAAAAGCACAACGGTACCCACCTTCCAACAGTGGGTCGACAGGGTGGAAAGTATCTACAGCATGGAAATGATGACGGCCTCCCAGCAGCGACGATCGGACAAATGCGCTTTGACATGGTTACCGTGGATGGACTTCATGGCCAAGAAAACGGCACAAGCCGGCGCACAGAGAGGGGATGCCGCACCGGCCCACAGTGCCGGGGGCCCAAATGTGCTAACGCAGCCAGGAAGCTTATGCACACTTGACACTTCTTCCCCCGACCTTACTACCCTTTCCCCCTCCCTGCAAGACCGCAGACACATTTAGACCACTCAAATAACACGACGACCGATTCCCACCACTAGACCCAGCCAACACCAGACACTAGGATACCAGAGGGAGGACAGAAGAGGGGAACCACCGACCACTAGGGATAATGTCAGCACACTACATCCCTTGCACATACATCCCAAACAAGAACAAAGAGACGGACAGATATAATTGGCAAATGGCAGAGCTGCACGGGGAAAACCCCCTTCGGAGACTAGACCGAAATCAGAGACATAAAGACTACCCAAATCACACAAGATTCAGGAGACAGACAAGGACGGGACAACAGGGGACAAGGCACTGACACGGTGAAAACAGACTCACTCCCTGGGGGCCAGAACCCAAACCAGCCACGAGGACCCTAAACACTCCACCTTAGCAAAGGAGACAGGGTGGGCGGGGAGGGGGGCGCGAGAGGAGGAGAAGGTGAGAAAAAAAAAAGAAAGGGGACAGATTTAACCTTAGATACACAAAACACGCAGATACCAACATTAGCGAAGGCTATCGTCAACCCAAGGGAGACAGACTCCGAAAGCCCACTCTCTCAATGATGCACGGAGCCCTGATGCCCATAAAGCCTAGAACTAAACACCGACAAACGCACACATAAAAACTAAGTATAAGACATATAACCACACACACAAGCCCAGACACTGTAACCAAACCAAACTGCTGCTATGGCAAAGTTTAAACACAATGGTGTAAACCAATATACAGTGAAATACTGCTGCTCACAGATGCAAATTGTACGGTACCATAACCAAAACAAAGAATGTAAAATGCGCACAGAATTTACATTAGGCAGCCTAGACCACAATTAAAAATTACTCCTATCATGAACATTTCAGAAAGCGGTAGTGGTATTTGGGGGCTGGACTAACCCTCTATTTGAAGACATCATATACCTTTTAATTATTGAATAAAGATATATAGTGTTTACCTAGCCTCACCCTGTCGTAGACTCAGACACCAATGTTAACACATCATAAAACAGCTGAACTCACAAGGTTAGGATTTTTTAATTAATTAAGACTGACATGGAGGGATTGTACCACCCGCAAAAAATAAAATAAAAAATAAAAAGCATTCATGTTTATTAGAAGGAAAAAAAAAAAAAAAGAGGAAATTGTACAGGGAAATATTAAACTATACCTGGCATGGTATTATTATAAAGAATCCAATTGAATCTGTACATGCTAACTGAATAGCAAACTTTATTGTATTATTTTATTTCATCCAGGGTTTTACTTGCTATGCTGATTAAGACTATAAACCTGGAGGCCAGGTTTGGCTGCATGTTTGGCAGCCTCCTCACCTCCAAATCATGGCATGGCAATCCACAACATGCAGCTGTGTGCCAAGAATTGAGGCATGCACTATGATGGGAGGGAGGGATTTTCTGGAAGTATATTTTTTTTTATCTTTACATCTGCTGGTGATTTTGCTAGCACTGTGCATAGACTGAATACGCAAAGGTTATCCACACAATGTTTTAAAGACCATCTTACTTCAAAACAACAGAGTAACAGAATGGTCAACAAAATAGACAGTAGATACCTGGCACATTCTCCAAGACAGTGTAATACAAATTCGGGACTGATTGGGACATGCAAAACGCTATCTAGATAAATCAATAAGTGTGATGTTGCATCATTATACAACAAACCGTGTGTAAATGTTACCTTTAAACGTCTTGCCACAAATGTGGCAGAAATGAGGTCTTCCTTCCTGATGCCGGCTGGCGACGTGTCTCAATAGAGGGGTTTTGTCAGTAAACCTCTGGTCGCAGAACTCACAGCTAAATGGACGCTCTCCTGTGTGAGTCCGGTTGTGCTTGTGCAGACTTGCTATAATGAAAGGTTAAAAATGGTGAATGAAATATTCAAAATATATATATATTGCATGGTCTGACTGTCATTTTAAAACACTCATTTTAAATTGATGTACAGAACAGTCTGATGTCACACTTGCCAATTGAATTGCCAATTCAAAATTGAAGCATTAACCAGCAGCTGTGACACCTGTACTCCCAAACATACTCAATGCCGAATACCACCTAACAGGAGTCAGCAAGAATCGGACGCCTTGGAACGTGCTAGAAACAGTATTCCCAGCGCAGTGTGAGCGCAGGATGAGCTAAGTTGTCCTGGGAAAAGTTACTTCTCCACTAGTGAGTCACAGTGAAAGAGCAGACAGTATGTGGGTGTTAATGTGCCTCAGTGTTTGAATATAGATAACATTTCATTCCACAGCAGCTGGGTTGTTAGGTAATATAATATCTCATGCACTCCAGCTGCTTAGAAATAAAATTAAAAAAAAAAAAAAAAATTACACATTTTTTTTTTAAGATGTGTACATTTAAGTCTGTGTGTTTATGATGTTTCCAGAACCCCTTGATTTTATTTATTTTAAAGCGACAAGAAAGTCACCAAAACAATCACAGCTTATTGTATTTGTTCTGGTAAGTATAATCATTCCCTTCAGGCTTTTTGCAGTAAACCCTGTCTTTTCAGAGAAAATGCAGTGTTTATATTACAGCCTAGTGATAACTCCACTGGCCACTCCTCAGGTGGCTGCTAGAGGTGCTTACTACTATTCAGTTTCTCCACCCTCTGCATGGAGACACTGAACTTTCCTCATAGAGATGCATTGATTCTATGCATCCCCATGAGGAGATGCTGATTGGCCAGGGCTGTGTTTGACATGTCCTGACTCCTGACAGTCTCAGCCAATCCTATGTGAAAGCATTGTGATTGGCTCAGAGAATCACTTCTGATGATGTCACCCAAGCAGGCAGATCAGGGGCAGAGGCAGCAGCTGCAGACCTGAATACAAGTAAGATTTTACTATACTCAGGGAGGCAGGTGGGCTATATGGTGGTTTTAACACTATAGGCAGCAGCTACTGCCATTTAAAGGGACACTAAGCACAAACAACTTTAGCTTAATGAAACAATTTTGGTGTATAGATCATGCCTCTGCAGTCTCACTGTTCAATTCTTTGCCATTTAAAGTGTCAAACCACTTTCGTTTGTTTATGCAGCCCTAGAAGCATTAAAAGAAGTTTGAAAATTAGATCTCTCTTAAGAGGAAGTGTGTAGGCGAGGATGTGTAAGTCACAGGCAGGGGTACACCACCCCTGCCTGTGACTTACACAGCGTAGCCCACCCCGCCTGTGACTTACACAGCCTCACCTACACACTTCCTGTTAAGAGAGACCAGGGCTGCAAGTTAGGTCACAACAGGTATGCCTTTTACTGAACAGAAACTAAAGGAAACCTAACTAACCATAATTTAACCCCCCCTCAAAAAGACAACCAAAACTCATAAGTTAAAGGGACACTATAGTCACCCAGACCACTTCAGCTCAATGAAGTGGTCTGGGTGTCAGGTCCCTCAGGTTTTAACCATTCACATGTAAACATAGTTTCAGAGAAACTGCTATGTTTACATAGCAGGGTTAATCCAACCTCTAATGGCTGTCTTCCTGACAGCCGTTAGAGGCGCGCATCTGCGACGCTGGATGCGACATTCGCATCCAGCATGCAGAACGTCCATAGGACAGTTTGAATGCGAGCGCGGCACTTGCAGCGCATGCGCATTCCACTCCGGAGCGGACGTCGGCAGGGGATGCGAGGTCAACAGTGCCGAAGGATTCCGGCGCTGGATTAAGGTAAATTGCTGAAGACATTTTAACCCCTTCAGCGCCACTGGAGAGGGACCCTGAGGGTGGGGGCACCCTTCGGGCACTATAGTGTCAGGAAAACCGCTTTGTTTACTAGAAACTATAGTGATCCTTTAACATAAAATTGAATGTGTATTAGGAGAAAATACCGCCATAAAGGAGTTTTGAAAACATAGAAACATAGAATGTGATGGCAGATAAGAACCATTTGGCTCATCTAGTCTGCCCAATTGTTTAGATACTTTCATTAGTCCCTGGTCTTATCTTATATCTAGGATAGCCTTGTGCCTATCCCACGCATGCTTAAACTCCTTTACTGTGTTAACCTCTACCACTTCAGCTGGAAGGCTATTCCACACATCCACTACCTTCTCAGTAAAGGAATACTTCCTGATATTTTTAAACCTTTGCCCCTCTTATTTAAGACTATGTCCTCTTGTTGTGGTAGTTTTTCTTCTTTTAAATATAGTCTCCTCCTTTACTGTGTTCCCTGTATGTATTTAAATGTTTCTATCATATCCCCCTGTCTCGTCTTTCCTCTAAGCTTTACATGTTAAGATCCTTTAACCTTTCCTGGTAGTTTTTATCCTGCAATCCATGAACCAGTTTAGTAGCTCTTCTCTGAACTCTCTCTAAAGTATCAATATCCTTCTTGAGATATGGTCTCCAGTACTGCGTACAATACTCCAAGTGCTGCTCTTTTACATTTTCTGCCTACCTTTAAGTCATCTGAAATAATCACCCCTAAATCCCTTTCCTCAGATGTTGAGGTTAGGACAAATATTCTGTACTCTGCCCTTGGGTTTTTACGTCCAAGATGCATTATCTTGCACTTATCCACATTAAATGGCAGTTGCCACAACTCTGACCATTTTTTTTTGTTTACCTTAATCATTTGGCTCCTGCAACATCAACCATGTTACATATCTTAGCATCATCAGCAAAAATACATGGAGAGCAAAAAAACAGGTCGCAAGAGTTTTCAGAGAACGGACAGCAACTGAAATAGCCTGCCCTTCAGTGGGTCCCCGCTCAGAACTCAAGCTGTTTTTTGCTCATCTTGTGCCATTATAGAGAGAACATCTCTGAAGCATCTTTAGACTGGTCCCACCCATACGGGCAGTCCAGATCCAAAATGCCAGCAAGTTTCCTCTGCACAAGAGACACAGCAACCCCAGACGATCGTTTGAGCCTTGTTAGGCATTATTACTGAGGCATAGCTGATATCTCGCTAGGCACCGTGAGCAAGGGCTCCACGTCTGGATTACCCTTTAAACTAATGGAGAGAAAAAAAAAAAAACAGGTCGCAAGAGCATTCTGAGAACGGACAGCAACTGAAATAAGCTTGCCCTTCGGTGGGTCCCCACTCAGAACTCAAGCTGGTTTTAGTATCATCAGCAAAAAAAGACATACCTTACCATCAAGACTTTCTGCAAGATCACTAATAAAAACCATTAAAGAGAATGGGTCCAAGTACAGATCCCTGAGGTACCCCACTGGTGACAAGACCATGCTTCGAATATATTCCATTGACTACAACCATCTGTTGTATGTCACTCAGCCACTGCCTTACCCATTCAACAATATTGGAATTCAAACCTTAAAGGGACACTATAGTCACCTGAACAACTTCTGCTTAATGAGGTTGTTCAGGTGAGAACTATAGCTCCCTGCAGTCTCTCTCATGCAAACACTGTATTTTCTGATAAAATACAGTGTTTACATTGAAAGCTAGGAACACCTCCAGTTGCAGTCACTCAGAGTGAACCAGAGGGACTTCTGAGTTGATGGAGGCATAATATGCCTCCATCCACTCAGATCTGCTGTGCACGAGCATCCTGTGATTCACTATCTCCTCCCACTGCATGCAGACACTGAACTTTCCTCACAGAGATTCATTGATTCAATGAATCTCTATGAGGAGATGCTGATTGCCCAGGGCTGTGTTTGAATCGTCCTGGCTCTGCCCCTGATCTGCCTCCTTGTCAGTCTCAGCCAATCCTATGGGGAAGCACTGTGATTGGATCAGGCTATCACATGTCAGCAGCTTGTTTTTCCTGAGTCTAACAGCATGCAGATTTACAGCCTCTGGCTTGAAAACAGTAAGATTTTTACTATAGTTATGGAGGCACGAGGGGCTAGATGGTCGTGTTAACACTATAGGGTCAGAAATACATGTAGTTGCACTGGTGACTATAGTGTCCCTTTAAGATTGCAGTTTATTGGTAAGCCTTCTATGTGCAACAGTGTCAAAAGCCTTACTGAAATCTAGGTAAGCAATGTCTACTGCACCACCCTGATCTATTATTTTAGATATCCAATCAAAAAAAAAAAATCAATAAAATTTGTTTGGCATGATCTCCCTGAAGTAAACCCATGTTGTCTCTGATCTTGAAATCCATGTGATTTTAGATGTTCAACAATCCTATCCTTTAACATGGTTTCCATCACTTTCCCCACTACTGAAGTAAGGCTTACTGGCCTATGGTTGCTCGACTCCTCCCTACTACCTTTCTTGTGAATGGGCACAACATTCGCTAACTTCCAATCTTCTGGGACTACTCCTGTTAACAGTGATTGGTTAAATAAATCTGTTAATGGTTTTGCTAGTACACTCCTAAGCTCTTTTAATAACTTTAGCTGTATTCCATCAGGTCCCATTAACTGATTTGTCTTTACTTTTGACAGTTGAAATAGAACCTCTTCCTCTGTAAACTCACATGTAACAAATGACTCATTTGTCCCCTTTTCTTAACTGAGGCCTCTTTCCTCCATTTTCATCTGTAAATACTGAACAAAAATATTCATTGCGGCAGTCAGCTAGACCTTTATCCTCTTCTACATACCTTCCTTTCTTTTGTTATTAATCTAACTAATCCTGATTTTACTTTCCTTTTCTCATTTATGTATTTAAAAAAATGTTTTGTTGACAAGCTTATTTTTTAACACACTTGCTACAGGCACTTTCTGTCCTTGTTTTCGGGGGCAATTGGTTTTATGTTTTATCACCCTTTTGCCTCCACTGCTAGTTTAACTACATCCTAGCACAGGAATAGGCAACCTTCGGCACTTTGCTAGCATTATGGGTGTAAGAGCATTATGAGGGATGTAGTCCACAACATCTGGAGTGCCGAAGGCTGCCTATCCCTGTCCTAGCAAAACCCCTGAACTGCTCACTGAGAACATTTGTTCCCTTTTGAGAAAGATGCAAACCATCTTTTTTGTACAGTTTATTTCCATTCCAAACAGAGCTACCATGAGAAATAAAGCCAAATCCTTGCTCCCGACACCATTCACCAAGCCACAAGTTAAAGTGCCTAATATGCATCCGCCTGTCATTCTGAGTGTTATGCACAGGCAGAACTTCAGAGAATTCATAACCACAACACAGATTATGGTGTCTACAGAACCCATTGGTGACATTAAATTTCCACAATACATGCTACACCGATCTGGAATAACCGAAAAAGAGTAAAATTGTCCAAGCTTCAATTCCCATCATAAAAGTTCCATACAAGACATTAACATGTAGAAAAATGTGCTTCTCAAATGAGTACTTTAAAACTATTCACTTACTGACAATACTAATGGCAAAATATTCCAAAAATGATATCATTGGTAATACTGTATAACGAAGAAGTACATTCATTTAGATGCAACCTTAATTGCTCATGCTAAAAAGGTTGAAATGAATGATCTGCAGTAAGAAGAAGACATGTGATTGGCAGTTTCATCACCAACACAAATGATGCAGAACACCGACATTCTCATCTTAACACATTGGCTGTCCTTGGGACAGCAATTACCTCTGTGAATGGAGAGGAGAAAACATGAAATACATCTCAAAAGGTAACAGATCTACACAGGGACTTAAATTACATAAAAATGTGATAAGGAATGAGCGTAGGGAATAAAAAAGCTGAATAGTTAATTGACAGTGTCTCTGAATAGTGTTACCTGAACTGTTTTGCATACATTTAAATGATACAGCGAATCTGTATTTTTATCAGTTCAATGTAGATTATCTAAAAAGAGCAATTTCAGGCAGCATTATCAAAGTGGAGCAATCACCTTAGAAATTAATGAGACATTCTTGCATATTGCCTTACGGTCACAGAATCAGAATTCCCCTCTATGCACAGTCGCAATGTGGGGCAACTAACCATTGAGTTTTGTGAGGGTATACAATATAAGCACCATATGGATTACTTTATTTGACTTTAATCTTAGCTTTTAATGTTTGAATAAATTGTGTGACAGTTTTTAGATTACTAGAGAAGTCACTGCGCCTACATTTCTAGGTAAACAGATATTTTCTATTCCAATTTTTTGGGGGGTTTTCAGATGCTCATTGCTTTAAACATGCTAAAATGTTATTAAAATTCTAACTTGTTGCCTTGCTTTATAATAAAAACCTGAATCGTATATTATAGCTATGAGTTCTATGGATTTATAGAGCGAATCGGAGGCAAAGTGCTAAATTCCAGAAAATAGTGGGAAAATTTTATTGCTCATTGCCCTACTTTTAGAACTCTGCCCAGTATTGGCTGTTATATATAACCCCAATGGTAGGTTTTCACAGCAGTGACAACTAGCCTTTGGCAATCCAGTTGTGCACTGGCTGTTCAATAGGGGCATTGCCATGTGGCCAAAACACCAGGGTCTTCAGCCCAAGGGTGAAACATAACAACAACAAAAAATCTCAACCATGCACACATGGAGACCACACATTGTAGTATATTTTTGTAAAAGTAGATATATCCCAAGTACTATGTGTATACTACATTATACCACATGTAATGCTTATTTGGTGTCAACTCTTGCTAAATTCTTCATCGTATTAACCTCTTACCTTGTGTTCTGAATGTCTTTCCACAGAGATGACACTGAAATGGTTTCTCTCCTGTGTGAGTCTTTAGATGCATATTTAGGTTGGTTTTTTGAGTGAATGCATGATGGCAGAATTCACATACATAAGGACGCTCATTTCTGTAAGGGGAACAGTTGAAAAGGCTTTAACAGAAGCGGTGTTTTGAGTACACTGCACAATATGGACAAAAGCATCAATATTAGTGTTGCCCAAAGTGTATAAGAATTTACCTTAAGAGTTCAGCAAATAGCTGCACACTGTGCGAAAACTGCTCACAAATTTAAGTACAGTTTATCGTATGAATGAAACATCTTAAACACCTCATTGGAAGAGCAGTGTACACTGATCAGCCACACATAGACCTGTTGCAGTGGATGTGGCTGGATGCATTCTTACAATTCTCAGTGAGGCACCCCACAATTTCCCACAGACTCATACTCAAATAATATTTACTGGGCACATTTTCATGGGTCTTGCTAGATCATTGTAAATACCCACATGATACAGTGAATGGCTTGTAATACCCACATGACTTTCTTTGCACAAATGGTCAAGTGGTACAAGTTGAAATAACCAATTTAGTGCTCATTCCAAAATGAGCTCTCTCTATTAGAGAACCATAAACACAAAAGGACATTATTTAAATGGTGCAAATGTTTACTCCAAAAACAAATTTAAAAACACCCACACACACTTGCGTATAAACCGGCTTCTGATAAGTCATTACACATAAATGAATTGCCCACCTGTGCTTGGCTTTTACATGCATCTGTAACCCGCTTCGGCTTGAAGCTCGGTGTCCACATTCTTCACATACAAAGAGCTTCTCACCTCGATGTTTAAAGGCTTCATGCAACCGAAGCTCCGTCCGTGTGAAAAAGCATTTCCCACATGTAGAGCACTGAGAAAAAGATCATACATCATAAGTGACTTTTGTGTATTATGTTTTTGTAAGATTCCAACTGAGAAAATCTTTAAAGGGACACTATAGTCACCCAGACCACTTCAGCTCAATGAAGTGGTCTGGGTGCCAGGTCCATATAGGGTCAACCCTCTATGCTGGAAACATAGTTTCAGAGAAACTGCTATGTTTACATTTGGGGTTAAGACAGCCTCGAGTGGCTGTCTTCTGGACAGCCACTAGAGGCGCATCTGCAATGATTGAGGCATATTATGCCTCAATCACGCAGAGCATCCGTAGGAAAGCATTGAAAAATGCTTTCCTACGGACACTTTTAATGCGCACGCGGCAGTGCCGTGCATGCGCATTCGGGTCCTGTGACGTCGGACGAGGATGATGAGGTCGGCGGGGGAGGAGAGGTAAGGGAGCCCGGCGGTGGAATTAGGTGAGCTACTGAAGGGGTTTTAGTGCCACGGGAGGGGGCACCCTGAGGGTACTATAGTGTCAGGAAAACCGATTTGTTCTCCTGACACTATAGTGTCCCTTTAAGATAGGAATTTGGGAAAAGGGGGCATTAAAACACTTCTTTGTTACTGGTGGGTTGGTTACTTATATCCAAGACTGTAAACTGTTGGACAGGTCCTTCAAAACGTCCTAATTTGTTTGTTTTGAAGTCCCAATTAATATACATAATATATAATGTAACACGATTGCCAATTATATTACTGACCGAAGTTAAAAAAAAAAAAAAAAAAAAGAAACGCAAATGATATTAACACTACTAGAAAATCAAATCACTTCTGCCCCCTGGTGGGCACTATGTATGCAAATAAAATAAAGCCTTTGCAGTAAAATATAGCTGTAATATTGAACTTCCATTGCCATGTTGTCACTATAATGAGTCGGAGAATTTAGACACTTTGATTTCAATCTCTGTACAATCCGGAATTTAGTGAATAACCGTTCCTGACGGACAATAACATATCTGAAGTTGCTTTCTCCCTTAACACCCATACCTTCTATAAGCCACCTGCTCAGGATGTTTCTTAGGTAACAAACTCCTCATAAAAAAATACCACGGAATATTTTATATAAATATATTCCACTCAATTTAAGTGAACATTAATTATACTTTTAGAAAAGGGAAAATGCACACAAAATATTGGAGTTAATTTTTTACATTAAAACAATTAACAGTTAAAAACACAGAGCCACTGCTTGACCTGTGTTACAGCACAGACATCATGAAACGATGGACTGTTTGTAGATACAGGTTTGAATAATGTTGCTCCAGACAAAACACATACTTACAGGGACCCTTCAAGGCATTAAAACAATTTAAAGGGATACTCCACTGCCCAAATACAAAAAAAATATAATTACTATTTAACCCCTTAAGGACACAACTTCTAGAATAAAAGGGAATCATGACGGAATATTTCCGTCATGTGTTCTTAAGGGGTTAAACCCCCCAATGAAAACATGCATGCTAATTATATTTTTTTCCCACTGGGGTTATATCTTAAAAAAAAAAAAAAGCTAACACAATTTGCAGATTTTTTTTGAAGCCTCTGCAACCTCTTCTCCATTTCCAGACTTTCTGTGGCTGTCCAATCACAGACTTCCCAATACATCTGAAAGAGAAGTCTTTACAAGGCAGGTGTTCTAAGCAATTGCTGCCTCTTAGGTTTAGCTCCACTAAACTAAACAATGAGTAAGTAACAGGACCGGTTGCAGGATTCAGTTAATTTATAAAAGTGACAATTTCTATTGAAATCTTCTCAATTCGTAAAATGAAAAAAAGGGGACACACGCTTTACACGTAAGGCGCTTCGGTGCTCAAGGGATCTGAAGTGTATCGTTAAGTATATTTGATAGGTTTTGGCCTCATCTTAATGTTGCTTTCCCCCCCCCCCCCATGTTAAAATTTTAGTTTTGATAAAATAAAAAAAATAAAAAAATAGAAATATACCTGTGGATTTTTGGAGCACGTTCCTACCCACTTAGCCACACCTATTATCAAAAGATCTTTTTGATTGGACGTACAGTGTTATGTAGTCCTCTCCGTCAATTAAAGACTGGTGTGAGCTGAACTGCTTAACAGCCAATCATTATTCTCTTATTATCTTCCTGCTTTCCCTTTAGCATGGCTCTGAAATAGTATACAAAAATAGGATGACCATGATTGCCAACCCAGATCACACAAATCTCTTATTGGCTGAGCTCATATGTTGTGTACTTCCAATCAGGAAGACATTCAGTGAAAAGAAGTCATGGCTAGTGGGCAGGGCTACGCTGCAGAAAGCTAAAAATTAATTTTAAAAAATTCTAAGGTGGGGCCTTGCATCTGTACAGGACATTTGCCCACTGCTATTCTTTGTATATATTAGTTTTATCTTGGATATCTTCATAACAAAATCACATGCACTTAAATTGTACTGGTGCCCAGAGTGTTGCTTTTAAAACCAGGTTGTAGAACACTGATGGCTATCCTTGACTTGGTTCTGAGCTGCCTAAGTCACATGTGATGTGGGTGCAATTAGAAATAACAGTGTGCACTGCACATCCAGGCTCCTACCACCATGAGCAGTGTTGTGGACAGAATACTAACTCTACTGAAATTTAGTAAAATGCCTATTTACTCTGCATAGCTATAACCAATTTTAATCATAAGTTACTTAAGATGGCCGCTGGGGAGTTCCCCCTGTCATCGACTAACACCTTCAATTAACAAGATGGCGCTGGAATCTGGAGAAGAGCTCCATGACGTCAGTGACGTCACACCCAGTAGGATGAGCAATTGATGAACCACTTAACATAACCAATTACTAATGTATTTCCTTCTGTTATCTATAATTATGCATATGATGTATTACTGCTTTATAAGGGGCCTACCCTTTCCATTAACTAGACTCTGCTGCAGAAAGAGTTTGGTCAGATAGTTGAGCTGCCTCAATTAGGCAGTATGTGTATATACAAATCGCTGAACTCCACCAAAATAGAAGTAAAAGAACGCAAAAATATATATATGAAAAAAGGTGCTGTAGAAGGGGAGATCCCTGGTAAGAGTAAATCACAGAGATCAGTAAGTGATGGTCAGTAACAGAAAGGCGTATATCACGTCCCTGTACCTAGACTGGACTTATCAGTGCAAAACTAACGTGCCTTCGAGGGCACCCCTTACTCTGCACTATTACTCAACCCCCCACTAAGTACCAAGACAAAGAATAAATAAAAATAAAAACAAAAAACGGGTTTAAAGCCCAATCTCAGGATGACTGTTCAGAGATGATAACTGACAAACGGCAGTGTGAAATTGAACACCGAGATATTGCAGGCTACGGCGTCCTGAGCCCCTGACGCGCACATTTCGTTCAGGTACTCAGAGGGGAGTTTTTTTTAGTTCTTCAATTTAACCACTTAGGGGTTACCCCCCATTTTCACACTATCTACCATTATTTTGTCTCATCTCATTGTATAGTCTCCTTTTCTCCTTATTTATTCATGTTCACTTATACTTGTTTATAGTAAGAATAGCTCACAATATATAAAAAAGGGCTAGTTGTATATGGGAGCATTCCTCATCTTTTCACCTAAAAAATTCCCCTACAGCAACCCATAATCTGGAAAGTTGTGTGTAGCCCAAGCATTACAGAGAAACATTAGCCACTGCTAATTAAATTAAATGTATTTATTTATAAAATATTTTACCAGGAAAGATACATTGAGATTTCTCTCGTTTTCAAGTATGTCCTGGGTAAATGTCCTACATGACGCAACTAAAGATAATTTGCAACTTTCATCTAATCTACTTGGAGTAATAAAATTAGGCCATATTCAAGAAAAATATATCTGTAATCCTAGGCGGTTTATTCACTAAACTCTGAACTGTAACAAACAGCTAAAATAAGCTAAATTTGACAATAATTATAGAATTTTTATACATCTATTTTTACAGTTTGGAATTTAATTTGCTATAATTTGGACAAGAGAACGTTTGGCTAAGTATATATCCAGTACCCAGGTTATCCTAAAACACATTATAGAAACATATCCCAAAGGACACATCAAACACTACATTATCACATGATGTTCTTACAGAGTGGGGTTTAGGGGCACCATGCATCTTGGTCATGTGACTTTGTAGAGGCTTCTTCTGCATGAACTGCTGGGTACAAGTAGAACACTGAAAACACAGGAGAAGAAGATGGGAATTAAACCTATGGTTAATGTAGAGAGATTACTGTAAAATGCATCTAGTGTTTTAGCTCAGCTTCTTTCAGTATAACAAATTAACTTCATCATAGGAAACATCACAAAATGCACGTTGTCATATTACTTCTCTCAAGATTACCCCTGTGGATACTGTAATATATGCTACCTCACTAAAGAGGGTAGATTTAGTGGACATTTTTGGCCACCACATTTATTTTTCTGCGGCATATTCTGATGGATCTTGGTATTACTTACAGATGTCCAGCAGAAGTATGAAACCACACGGTCCAATCACAGGTTTCTCATTGAGTTTTGCCAGCTTAGAGCGCATGCACACAATCTGAGCTGGCAGGGGAAGGGGTTGGAGTAATTTAGTTTTACTAAACAAATATATCAAGTCAAATAGGAGCAATGGCAGGAGGAAACGCAGTGGGAGAGAGGAAGGTATTTTAATCTTCCTCTTGCAGATGCTCTGCCTGCATGGGGGAGATTACTACATCTGTTGCTAGCGTGCACTGCGTGCTAACATATATAAAATATGCACAGAATTGACATTAGGTAGCCCGGAACACAGTTAAAAACGGTGTTAAAAAACAAAAATGAGTGTGCAATACACCTCCAGGCTACTACCACCACGACCACTGAAGTGGTCATGGTAGCTAGAGTAACTCTTTCAAGTGGAATAGTCACAAGAAGCTTTCTTTAAATAAATAAAAATTGCACCATTTGATTAATCCACACAGTGCATGAGCGAGTCTGGCACTACACAATTAACTTCTTTGCCCAAGCACATCCAATACATCATGTGTATCTGCTCTTTTCAGAGACTCAACAGCTCAACATTATACTTCCTTTTCTCAAAATATTAAGGATTTTTATTTAAAGAAAACTGAATTTTATTAGACCAGTGTGTCTTCCACTGCTGAGTGATCTTATTGTATTTATAAGTTGGTTAATAAAGAACACTATACTTACTTTATAGGGCATCTCACCAGTATGGGACACCATGTGAAGCCTTAGCTCTATTCTTCTTTTGAAAACCTCATCACACAACGTACAGGAAAAAGCCTGCGAACACAGCCACAAAAACTGTTCAAATCAAATATTACTATACATATTATGAAAGGGAAAATATTGTTATTATTGCTTTTCTTATGGGTTTCACTTCGTAACAGACTGTTTATATAACTTGATTTCTGCTTAGACAATCTAGACAGTCAAGATAAGCAAATGTTCTGTTAGTCAAAGTAGAATGGATTTCACAATGAATAGAATTCAGCCTTTTTAGAGTCTTCAGGATAGTTACAGATTAAATACTCCATATTTTAGCTTTACAATAACTTTAAAAAGGTACATGTTTTGAAAAAGAAAAACAAAACAAAAACAACAAGCACATGCTGGGAAATGTGGCTAGGACTGTATAAGCAGAAACAAAAGTGATTTAACCCCTTAAGGACACATGACATGGGTGACATGTCATGATTCCCTTCTATTTCAGACGTTTGGTCCTTAAGGGGTTAAAAGGGACACTGTAGGCACCCAAAGCACTTCAACACATTGAAGTGGTCTGGATGCAATGTCCCATGTCCCTTAAACCTACAGTGGTAATTATTGCAGTTTCAGAGAAACTGCAATAATTACCTTGCAGGGTTAACTCCTCCTCTAGTGGCGGTCAACCAGACAGCCACTAGAGGGACTTCCAGGTGCTTAGACAACTTTTGGTCATCTAAACGACGCTGGACGTACTCACGCTATGCATGAGGACTTCCAGCGCTACCGGAATCCCCACAGGAAAGCACTGGATAATTCTTCTCTATGGAGAAATCCTAATGCGAGCGCGGCCATTGCCGCGCATGCACATTAGGTCTCCCCCGTTGGCTGGGCTGAGGGACATCGGTGCTGGATTCAGGTAAGTGACTGAAAGGGTTTTAACTCCTTAAGCATCGCAGGTGGGCACTGTAGAATTTTATAGTGCCAGGAAAAAGGCTTTGTTTTCCTGACACTATAGAAATACTTTCACTTCTAAATGAAAGAGAATTGAGCAGTGAGACTGTAGGGGCCTGATCTGTTCACCAAAACTGCTTCATTAAGCTAAGGTTGTTTTGGTGCCTATACTGTTCCTTTGACCTATCACACAGTTAATACCAAAAACAGGATGTGTTACACTTACCTGCTCTGATCGGTTCATGCAGTTCCGTGCCTCATGTTCCATTAGGTTTTCTTTCCTGAAATAGCTTTTGCCGCACTTCGAACATTCAAAAGGTTTCTCTCCAGTATGTTTCCTAGGAAAAAAAAAATATATATTTAAAATATCACATAAATCCCCACAAATTTGCACATTTATTATGATTAACATAGTCTTTCCAAATACGTTAACATTGTATACCATAGCTTAGGTGATCCTGGATATAACCACTACATATAAAGTGTCCTCCTGGGCAGTATTTACCTGGCATCGCTGCATTCTACTGAAGGCAATACAAAAATATTGTAACATGTTCAATATTACAAAAAAAATATCCACTGAACAGCACTGTGAAACATCGCTGCACTTTATAAATAAAAATAATAGTTTGAAATATCTACAGAAAGTACTAGACTCTTATTCACAAAAAAATCTAAACATTTGTTATACAAGTGGATAGATCATCCAGAAATTGTACAGATAATATAGGTTATATCAGATTAAATTTAAAATTTAACTTATACACATGGTCTTGTGTAAAGATCATATATTTAAATAAAATGCAGTTATAAAGAACAGGTGGAAATTACGGTTTCTCAGAAACAAAATAGCCTGCATAACACAACCCAACACGTAAAAAAAAAATTAAAATGAATTCTAAAAAGGACAACCTTGTCTTAAAATAAATGAAAATGTGCTTTTAATCTCTAGAATTATTTATAAAAAAAAACAAAAAACAGTACTATGAATACTAAGTTTATTTTTTCAAATTCAAACTGCATATAAAAAAGAAAAACTAAAAATATTTTATAAGACAGTCTTTGAGAATTTTTTTTTTTTTTTTTTTTAAAGTCAAACTTTTTATGGATCACAATTAAATTTTTACCTGTTATGCACCTTTAGATAATATTTGCTGAGAAATGTTTTGTGACACGTGGGGCATTCTACGGACATGTTGGCACTTCTTCTATTCTTGAGATTTTCACCATCAAGCGCGTTCGCTTCTGCCGGCGTTTCTGCAGGAATAATCTTTTTGCCAGAACATAATCTTGGCTTGGAGTTTTGTGTCTTCTTCTCAGAAACAAAGTCTTCATCAATATCTTCATTAATGAATCGGGCATTGTCTGCTATAACATCATGTATCTGCTCTACTTCCAGCTCCCACTACAAAATAAAAATAAAATTTTGTTATTAAACAAATTGACAGAGAAGAACAAAACATATTTGATGGCTCCTATCCAAGTGAAAAACTATATTAATAAAACATTTTTTTTTACCATTTCTTAGAACCCTGTATACAGAAATGAATAAAGTGTTTTTACCCATTGTGAGAGTTGGAGGTAAAAATATTGTTACAAAAATTTACCGAACTGTCCTAAACTGATTGTTAAATAAAGTAACAAATGTTCTAATATGGGGGTGTAAAGCCCCCGGCCCCAGTGCATCAAAATAATTTGTAGCGACAACTGAGCATGCACGTCTGCTATAAAAGGAAATGCCATCACCACTGTTAGCCCATGGAAACATATTGGCATCAGGTTCCTATTAAAGGACCACTATAGTGCCAGGAAAACACACTCGTTTTCCTGGCACTATAGTGCCCTGAGGGTGCCCCCACCCTCAGGGTCCCCTTCCCGCCGGGCTCTGGGGGGAGGGTTAAACTTACCTCTTTCTCCAGCGTCAGCCGGGTACTCTCCTCCTCACCTCCTCTTCGGCTGAATGCGCATGTGCGGCAGGAGCCGAGCGTGCATTCGACGCTGGCGTCTTCTCACTGTGATTTTCACAGTGAGAAGCGTGGAAGCCCTCTAGCAGCTGTCAATGAGACAGCCACTAGAGGCTGGATTAACCCTAATATAAACATAGCAGTTTCTCTGAAACTGCTATGTTTATAGGAAAAAAGTTTAACCCTAGCTGGACCAGGCACCCAGACCACCTCATTAAGCTGAAGAGGTCTGGGTGCCTATAGTGGTCCTTTAAGAACCGGCAAAAGGTCTCTTCCTCCACTTTACAACTCAGCTTTGCACATGAAGAATAAGAAACGGGCACTGGAGATAACATTGCAGCCTTGCTCTCTCCGCAGAACCACGTGTGTTCTGCAGAGAGCAGCAGCCTGACACAGAAAGCGGATCCTTCCAGGTATGCTGCATGGGGAAGAACGGCCTCTGTAAAATGGGGAAGGGGGGCGCTGTGGAGAGGTGCATGGGGGAGTTTGAAAAGGGTACAGACAGAGAAAAAGAATAGGAAGAGACAAAAGGCAAGGGGCTGACAAGGAAAGACACAAGGAAAGGGTTTTTTGTAAAGAGGATGGGGAAGGACTCGTTGTAGGTGAAGCAGAGGAGAGGATGAGAGAAGATGAAAAAATAAATTTTGCAGGTGCCAACCAGCAACTAGACATTACAAAGATCACTTGCAAGATCCAAGCGCAATGATCACATTGACATCACATGGCAGCGGTCTGCAGTAAGAATTTCAGTCAGTCCTCTGGCCCCCCCACTAAAAAGGTTGCATAGCACTAATGCATGGTGTTAATCTCTGACCTCTTCTAGGTCCTAATTAAGTATAGGAAGTGATCTATTAAATAAATCTGTGGATCTTTCAGTAGACAATACATTTAATGAACTCCGAAAAGATAAATAAGTGCCAGTATCACGCTGTGTGCAGTGCTATCACAAACCTATGTGTATCTGAAGCTACCAAAAAAATTAAACATTTTTACTCTATGGCTATTACCACAGTTAGACCAGCATTCGTTTTATCATACATTTATTTCCTTGGTAATTTAATTATTTGCAAAACTAAAGTGCTGCACCTACTTGTCTGAATTCTGCAGATTAGTCTAGTCTAGACGATCCTAATCTCATGTAATGGAACACTATAGGGTCAGGAACACAAATGTATTCCTAACCCTACAGTGTGAAAGCCATCATTAAGGTGGCTTACCTCCACTTAGCCCCCTTGGAAAGGGTTAAAGCTTACCTTATTCCCAGCGCTCCATAGGTCTGCCAGCACTGGCCCCATCCCCTTGGCTGGCATCATCAGAAATGATGATATCCTCCAATCCAATGCTTTCCCACAGGGTTAAGCATTGGATTGGCTGAGATTGCCAAGGAGGTGGGGCCAAACAGCATCTCCTTATAGAGATGCATTGAATCAATGCATCTCTATGAGGAAATGTCAGCGTCTCCATGCAGAGCAGAAGCACCTCCAGTGGCCATCTGAGGAGTGGCCACTGGAGGTGTCCCTAGGCTGTAATGTAAACACTGCCATTTCTCTGAAAAGACTGTTTACAACAAAAGCCTGCAGGGACCAAGTATACTCACCAGAACAACTACATTAAGCTGCAGTTGTTCCCGGGTCCTATAGTGTCCCTTTAACAGAAAATAGCATGTAAACCACCCAATGCGCATTTCACCACTACGGGATCTGCTCGATTGTTATGGTTAGATTACAATTATATATAATTACAAATTAATATCAATGTATTTAACCAGGAAAGGTACAGTTAGCACATGGTTAGTTTCCAAGTATGTCCTGGTGTTTTATATATTTCCACCACTTTATTAAACTGAAAAGGTGTCTTGGTCCTGTGGAATGCTGGGAACTTTCATTATCATCATCATCAATTGCATCATATAAACTACACCATTCCAAAAACAGTTTATGAGTAATTTAAATGTGAACATACAGACACATATGTATAGTCAATACAAAGAAGAAGAAGAAAAAAAAAAAAAAAATGATATTTCAAATTCCATAAAAAAGCCAGCATCTGTGTAGACCTACACAGCAATGTAAGAAAAATACCAGAATTTCCTGTTACACTATTTTGGACAACAACTTGTGATTCCCTTGTCATTAACACACTTCTCAGAAACCGTTTGATAAATTATTTAAAGCGGCACGGTCAACTCCCTGCAAAATAATTATTTCATACAGACAAAATCTTTATGAAATACTCTTACTAATTGTCATGGAGTTTCACTGAAATTTCAACCCGGTCAAAAGATATACTAAGACGAAGTAAGGACTACTTTGTCTCAGTATTTTTCCTGCACCTGAAATTTCTTGACACAGAGTGGAGCTACTGACAGCTGCAGGGAAATTGGCTCTATCTATGGAGGACCATGCCAGGAGCAAAAGAGGACCAGCCAGAAGAGAATGGCGTTGCAACAAAGAGCCTTGAGGCCTCCATAGCACCAAAACCACTGCCTGGCCGTGAATTGCCTGTCTTTACATTGTGTGTGTGTTCCCTATTCTTTCGTTTATTGTGCCTGCTCCCCTTTCGGGAGGTCTTCTACAAAGGGAACCTATTAACCTCCTGAACGGGGAGCACCCCGATACCTCATTTAGAATGTTAGAACATTCAAACCTTGCTTGTAGGTGTCAAACTGCAAAGGGAAACAGTTAATGAGTGCTTCACGGGGTGGCCGCCATTTGTACAGACGAACGCCACCAGGGGGAGCCTTTGTGGATTGTTTCCCGACTCGTTAGTCTCCCAAATGAGGATCGCCCCGGTGCCCCATTGGAACGGTCACACCAATTAATCAGAACGTTCGCATTCGCAATATAAAAGTGTTAAACCTCAAGGGAAGTAATTAATGAGTGCTCCCCTAGGTGCCACCATGGCCGTCCCGAAAGGAGACACTTCCATTGCAGGGATTCTTCTCATCCTCCGCAATATCGGTCTACAAGCTATTGATCTCTCTTACCTCTCCCAGCGCTCTTTCAGTGTTTCTTTCTCTGGCTCTGCTTCTTCTCCCCAGCTCCTCTCTGTTGGTGTCCCCCAAGGTTCAATCCTTGGTCCCCTACTGTTCTCCATCTATACTTGGTAAACTCATTAGCTCCTTTGGCTTCCAATTTCATTTCTATGCAGATGACATGCAAATCTACCTGTCCTCTCCTGATCTCTCCCCGTCCCTCGACTAGTGTCTCTGACTGCCTCTCTGCTGTTTCAAACTGGATGGCTGCCCACTTCTTTGAACTAAACTTGACCAAAACTGAAATTCTGGTCTTTCCTCCCTCAAGTGTTGTTACTCCTGTGTCTGTCTCCCTCCAAGTCAACGGTGCTACCATCAGCTCCACCACGCAGGCTTCCTGCCTAGGTGTTCTCTTTGACTCCGACCTCTCCTTCAAGCCTCATGTTCAATCTATCGCCAAATCCTGTCATTTCCATCTCAAAAACATTGTGCTCATCCGCCCCCTACTTAACGCCAGATGCGACTATGGTGCTGGTCCATTCCACTGTCCTTTCTTGCCTAGACAACTGTAATCCGCTTCTCAGTGGTCTTACGTGCTCCCAACTTGCGCCGTTACAGTCCATAATGAATGCGGCGGCGAGGCTCATCTTCCTGTCCGCCCGCACCTCCCACGTCTCACCCTTCTGTCGCTCCCTACATTGGCTTCATGTAAGATATAGGGTTCAATTTAAAATTCTGGTTCTTGCTTTCAAATCTCTACATAATGCTGCTCCCACCTATCTATCCTCCCTTATACACAAGTATGTCCATCTAGGCCCTTACGCTCTGCTGAAGACTTACATCTATCTTCTGTCCGTACTCCCACCTCTGATGCTTGCCTTCAAGATTTCTTGAGGGCTGCACTCGCTTCCCTCCTCCGTTAGATGCTCACCCAGTCTCCACTCCTTCAAAAAATCGTTAAAAACCCACTTCTTCATAAAAGCATATCAATTAAACTGTTAATAGCTCCTGACTGATTCCTCTTCTGCAACTGTCACTAGTCTAATACTATCCTTACCTTTTTGTGTCATTTTACCCCACTCCCTCCCGCATGTAAGCTCTTTGAGCAGGGCCCTCAACCCCTCTGTTCCTGTGTGTCCAACTTGTCTGGTTACAACTACATGTCTGTTCGTCCACCCATTGTAAAGCGCTGCGGAATTTGATGGCGCTATATAAATATCATAATATATTTTGTTATTTATTTTTCCAGTTGCTGCCAATTCTATACCTTTAAGAACAGGTTTACCTGGAAATATGTTCTGAATCAGAAAAACATAGATGCAAGAGACATAATTAAATCTACAAAATTACAAAACTATACCGTGATGTAATCTCCTTCATTGAGACAATGTTCGCTCTTCTGTCCTTTCCTTTGCCCTTTAAAATCACTTTGTTCCTGTCCGTCCCCTGTATAATCTATATTTTTAAGGACAGTAGGTTGGGTGGGGGAATCATCCTCACTCATCTGAAGTAAGGAAAGGCTCCTCTCCTGTCCGTTGCTCTGTCCAGGTACAGTTTCTTGGGTCAATGTGTTGCTTAACTCTGTAATCCCTTTGAAGACTTCTTCACCATCAGACTCCTCTGCTTGCTTCAAGTGCCCGTTTAAAGTTTCAGTTGTGCCGGACTCTTGAAAATAGTCTTCATTCTGATCACCTGATTCGTAGCATTTTGGTTGAAACCTTTCACAGACTTCTGCAGCCTCATAAATCCCAAGTTCCCTTGAAGCCAGAAGAACCTTCTGAACATTATGCTGAGAAAGAGCCAGCTCCCCAGTATACAAGAAATCCAGCACAAGTCCAATGACTTCTGAGAAACTTTCATGTAACACTATGTTTGTAGATGTCCCGTCCCCATAAAGAGTTTGAAAAAAATGGCTGCTACATGCCAAAATGCTCCAGTGTGCCTTAAAGTTAGTGTTGCCAACTACCAGCGTGGCATCACAATATCTGCCTTCTTCCCTCTGTTTGTTCAGAGCCTGCAAGACTTTAACACTGCGCTGTATGAAAACACTGTCCATTGTCTGCAAAAAATAATCATAAAGGCGTTAGTTTAGTTAGTGGTACATCGGGAGACGTAAAACTGATAAAAAGTCTGTGTAAAGCTGCCAGAAATATGATACATGCATGTGTTATACAATAAAGTGTTGTATAGTATGGTGAAAAAGAAAACACAACACAAAAAAAAAAAAAAAAAAATACATGTCAACTACTCTAGATCTCATGAGAGCATTGAAAAGAAGAAGTGCAGAACTGCAAGAACATCCTATCCCAGCGACTAGATCAAACAGAGATTGCTTTCTCTTTTGATTTTAACTGGCTGGCCCATGGTGTGGTCTAATGAGAGAGCTGTGGTCTGTTGTTCTACTTTTAAGACAAACGTACCACCAACCATCCAGGCCTAGTTGCACCTTAGGGCCCTGTGAGCAACTTACAAAATCATACATGAAATTTTATAGCTCTTTTTATTTAATTAAAAATATATATATAATACAGGGATTGTCAGATTAAAATAACAATGGTTAAGATTTCCCTCGGAACCACACGTGGTAACTGAACACTGGGGGTGCAATTTTAGATAACCCATGGCAGCTGAGTAGTAGAGATACCAGCAGGGGTTCTGGAGACTTCCGTACCAGACCTGGCTCGAGGTATACCAACAAGAAAATGAATGTGCCACCCACACAATCTAGGGATGAGAGGTTCACTTTCCAGGACCAGTCTAAGCACCAAAATCGCTCCATTGTAAAGGGACACTCCAGATATCAATACAATTTTAATTAATTTAATAGGTTTTGACCTCATTAAGATTCTGTATATATAATTTTTCTCTTTTGAATGCTCAAATCATTCGTTTTGCAGGACGCTGCACCATAAACCTGTCACCTTAGCCCATGCTTCCCCAAACTCCAGATGTTGCTGAACTACAACTATGAATGAGATAGGCTGAGTATCATGGGAGTTGTAGTTCAGCAACATCTGGAGGGCCGGAGTTTGGGGAAGCCTGCCTTAGCCAAACCCACTGTAAGCCTCTGATATGACACATTTAATGGCAGGCTGTCTTTATATATTAACAAAAAGAATGTTTGGAAGAAGTAAGCATGTAATGGTCTACAGGTCCCTCTACAAAAACACACATCGACTTTATTTGCATTGGGCTTTCTATTTACTTATCATTGACTAACCAGAATCTTCAAATGTGACAGTTCTGCAAACATAACAAGCTGGCAATTTATAGATAAAATTGTCACTATACAATATATTAGTTCATCAACCCAGTCCTCAAGCACCCCCTACCAGTCCAGGATTTAGGGATTACCTTGTTGTGACTAAAGTGGTTTTTTTTTTTTTTTCTTCTTCTCCTTTTCTAAAAACACCTTACGACACAACTGGGTAATCCCCAAATCATGTACGGTTAGGGGGTACTTGAGGACCGGGTTGGGAACCACTGCTTTAGTTAGTACATCTCGTAATCTATGCTTGCAATAACACAAGTATACATTTTGCCAAGGAAATGTACAGACCAAACTGTAACACATATCTGAAGAGAATTTTGAAGTCCACGTACTGTGTTGATGGCAGAACCATTTTGACTGTTTTGTTCACCAGTTACTCTTAAAGGGGCACTCTAGACCCCTAAAGTATTTTAGCTTGCTGAAGGGTTTCCTCTTTTTTTCTGTTTAATAAAAATAGATTTCAATAGAAACTGGCACATTTATATGTTAACTTTGTATATACAATTGCAAGAAAAAGTATGTGAACCCTTTGGAATGATATGGATTTCTGCACAAATTGGTCATAAAATGTGATCTGATCATCATCTAAGTCACAGCAATAGACAATCACAGTCTGCTTAAACTAATAACACACAAAGAATGAAATGTTGCCATGTTTTCATTGAACACACCATGTAAACATTCACAGTGCAGGTGGAAAAAGTATGTGAACCCTTGGATTTAATAACTGATTGAACCTCCTTTGGCATTAATAACTTCAACCAAACGTTTCCTGTAGTTGCAGACCAGACGTGCACAACGGTCAGGAGTAATTCTTGACCATTCCTCTTTACAGAACTGTTTCAGTTCAGCAATATTCTTGGGATGTCTGGTGTGAATCGCTTTCTTAAGGTCATGCCACACCATCTCAATCGGGTTGAGGTCAGGACTCTGACTGGGCCACTTCAGAAGGCGTATTTTCTTCTGTTTAAGCCATTCTGTTGTTGATTTACTTCTATGCTTTGGGTCATTGTCCTGTTGCAACACCCATCTTCTGTTGAGCTTCAGCTGGTAGACAGATGGCCTTAAGTTCTCCTGCAAAATGTCTTGATAAACTTGGGAATTCATTTTTCCTTCGATGATAGCAATCCGTCCAGGCCCTGACGCAGCAAAGCAGCCCCAAACCATGATGCCCCCACCACCATACTTCACAGTTGGGATGAGGTTTTGATGTTGGTGTGCTGTGCCTTTTTTTCGCCACACATAGTGTTCTGTGTTTCTTCCAAACAACTCAACTTTGGTTTCATCTGTCCACAGAATATTTTGCCAGTACTGCTGTGGAACATCCAGGTGCTCTTGTGCAAACTTTAAACGTGCAGCAATGTTTTGTTTGGACAGCAGTGGCTTCCTCTGTGGTATCCTCCCATGAAATCCATTTTTGTTTAGTGTTTTACGTATTGTAGATTCGCTAACAGGGATGTTAGCATTTGCCAGTGACTTTTGTAAGTCTTTAGCTGACACTCTAGGATTCTTCTTCACCTCATTGAGCAGTCTGCGCTGTGCTCTTGCAGTCATCTTTACAGGACGGCCACTCCTAGGGAGAGTAGCAGCAGTGCTGAACTTTCTCCATTTATAGACAATTTGTCTTACTGTGGACTGATGAACAGCAAGGCTTTTGGAGATACTTTTATAACCCTTTCCAGCTTTATGCAAGTCAACAATTCTTAATCGTAGGTCTTCTGAGAGCTCTTTTGTGCGAGGCATCATTCACATCAGGCAATGCTTCTTGTGAAAAGCAAACCCAGAACTGGTGTGTGTTTTTTATAGAGCAGGGCAGCTGTAACCAACACCTCCAATCTCATCTCATCGATTGGACTCCAGTTGACTGACATCTCACTCCAATTAGCTCTTGGAGATGTCATTAATCTAGGGGTTCACATACTTTTTCTACCTGCACTGTGAATGTTTACATGGTGTGTTCAATAAAACATGGCAACATTTCATTCTTTGTGTGTTATTAGTTTAAGCAGACTGTGATTGTCTATTGTTGTGACTTAGATGATGATCAAATCACATTTTATGACCAATTTGTGCAGAAATCCATATCATTCCAAAGGGTTCACATACTTTTTCTTGCAACTGTAAGTGCACCTGCCGACCCAAAATACTTATTGTGGCAATCCACAACCTGTAGCATCTTCACACTGAGTACTGTGGGGTTTGCACTTAGCACAAAAGGGATACTAAACACTCCCCTCCACTGTAGCTGCCACAGTTGTAAATATCTCTATTTCAACTGCATTAACATACAACCCAGATGTTGACACTCCAGATGTTGGGGATTACATAATGCTCTTACAGTCAAAATGCTGGTAAAGCATCAAATGATCTGTAGTCCAAGACATCTGGAATGCCAAAGGTTGCCTATTAGAACCTTTATAACTACATCGCATCTAATAATTTGAGAAACCTAATACATTTCCCGTCTGATTGCTCCAGCTTTATTTTAGAAACTTGCCCTATAATTTGTTTTTCACAACATGGGCAAACTGCACCAGCAATAAAAATAAATAAATAAATAAAATAAAAAAATAATAATAAAATTAACAAAAACAAAACATTTCACATCTGTTGATCACAATTACAATCTCACCATAAATAATGACATATAACAATCACAGGATAGATGTTCACATTGCATGGTACACTTTGAATGAACTAAAAGAATTATATAAAATATTTATGAAATAATTTGAGCAGTGTCCACTAATGTCCCAGTGTAACCCCCCACACACACTATGCTGCACTATCTACCTATACAGAGATTGTTTATATAGGACATGACAGATAGTGAGCAGATCACAAGAGCACACTAGAAGCCACCATCTATCCTGCATCCCCTCACGTGGTCTCTGTACAGGCTCAGCACAGGACAGTACCTGGACAATATCCCCAAACCTGCTCCCACTGCAATACCAGCAGCTCTGGCTCCAGCCTCCCGACTGCGCAGCTGCTTCCGGTGGCTCAGGCTGGCGATCCGTGACGTCACCGGCTGCGGACGCTAAGTCTGCCTAGAGAGCGTGCGGCGGTGACTGCTCGCGGCGGCCATCTTAGGGGTGGCACGTCGGACATATTTTGTGTGGCGCAACGAGCGCTTAGAAGTAAACAGCAGCCCTGTCTGCCGTTTTAGATATGTGTTACACAGACGAATATGCAGTCCAGAGAATATTATTGGATTTGCTTGGTGTGACAGCCAGTAACTGCATGGCGGCCATCTTTAGTGTGGCAATATGGTACTCTGTCGGCCATTTTAAGAGAGAAATAGTTGCCATGACAGCAGTGATACTACATCATATTCAAATATATATTTATACCTCTGCTATGGATGCCTAAGGGTTAACACACAGTTATTTGATTTTTTTTCTTGCTAATTTGCCAGCATTGGGTATTGTAAAAGATACAGACAATCAGAATAGTAAACATTGGGCAAACAAACAGCTATCCAATGTACAGCGCCATGGAATGTGATGGCGCTATATAAATAATAAAATAATAATAATAATGTGTAGGTGGTCAATAGGGCTGTACCTATGCATATAACTCGTTACCGCATGTAAACCCATATAAAGAGAACACACATATGACATATCTATAAAAAGACTAGTGTCCGAGTTCAGGAGGGACAGTATCTATTTTTGCCTCAATCCCACTTACCCTCTTTTGTCTTGAATGTGTGTCTGAATCTATGGAGAAAATAGTCTGTGTAAATAATATACATTGTTCTTGTTCTAATTTACATTTTATTAGGATTTTTAGGGTTGCCACCACAGCCGTTACCGGTATATTAAAAATAGCGGCAATGCATTTCAGGTCAGCGGAAGCTCTCAGCCAGTCAGCAACAGCCGTGACGGTTGCCACAAGCCCTAAGGTCCTGGGGGGGATCAGTCCCCACATTCCAAATGTCCACATATATATAGCGAGTATCGCTATATATATATGTTCTATATGTTATATATATGTTAGACCTGTGTGGCTGCACCAGGGCTTGCAAGCTAAGTGAACCCAACGGGTGCCCATGCACTTATGGCTACCCGATGGGCATATGTCTTAAGGGGCCTGGTCATGCACTGTGTCTCTCTAATAGCGCCCAGCCTCCTTTAATGACCGTGGCAGTGCTGGGAGAAACTGCACCCAAAAGGTAAGAAACAGGAGGGTGGTTAAAATTTGACCGTGTGTGTCAGTGTGTCTCTGTATGTATGTGTGTGTTAGTGTGCACCTGGGTGTATGTGTGTATATCTGGATGTAAGTTTGTATGTGTGTATCTGTCAGTGTGTGTGTCTGTATCTGTGTGTCAGAGAGCACCTGAGTGTATGTGTTTGTATCTGTGGATATGTTTATGTGTGTGTATGTGTGTATCTGTGTGTAACTATGTCAGTCAGTGTAACTGTGTAGTGTGTTGCAGTGTATACACTACACACAAATGCGCGCATACATTCAAACACAAATATTCACACTCACCTTCTCCATACAAAAACATGCTTACATTCAAACACTGCTCACTTTTGAATAGAACCCCGCAAGGATGGGAAGACTGTACATCCCCAGCTGAGAAAGCATTCTGGTACTTGTACAACAGATGGGGATCTACATTTGGCCATCTTTGTGTTAGAGGGGGCCCAAATAAAATTCTTGCATTCCTGGCGGACTCAGGGTGGGCCCCAGGTGCCCAGACCGTGGGCTGTGTCAGGAGCCCAAAATATTTTGATGGCAGCCCTGGTCGTTGCAGCTGTTTTCTCCAGGTTACCAGCGACCTGAACTTTACTCATCTGATTCTGACTCTGAAAGAGGGGGTTTGGGATAGGACATCACATCCTTTCCGCGATCTGACTGTGTCATGCTCCAGAGGATCCGATAAGCTGTACAATTCACATAATTCTTTTATTCTACTGAAAGTGACAGCACACTGACCTTAGCCAGAAAGCGCTGCAGAATATAACTCAAGTAAGTTCACTGTCACAAACCAAAAGTCACTATTTTGTTTTATTTGCAATAATTTTTATGTTTTGGTAACTTGTTATGAAACTCCTTTTGCTTATGCATATGAAATATGAAAAAGCAACTGTACTCCCATATGAACACCCCATTGGCATTTTTTAATCACTATTTTGTAAATACACATCTATATTTTTTAGTATATTTACATAACTGCACTTTAAAGGAACACTCCATTGGCAAAACATAAACAAATATCACTATTTAGTATATATACCTATATATTTAGTCAGGGGCGGACTGACAGGTCGGGCAGATCGGTCATGGACCGAGGGCCCGAGTCAGTCAGGGGGCCCGGCAGCACAGCTATGCTTCTGCTGTGGAGATCAGAGATCTCCAAAGTCAGAAGTAAGGTTGCAGGGGCCCATGATGATATAGGGGGCCCCTGCAACCTGTCACCCTGCAATCCCATTCCCCCATTCAGCGTGAGACCTGGCAGCATACCTTGCTCTCACTGCCAGGTCTCCGCTCTTTCTCCCTGCAGCTAGTGCACACTGCTCCATGTGAGAGGGCAGGAAGTGACATCACACCCCCTGCTCCCCTCTTACACGGAGCACTCACAGCATGGATGGAGGGTGAGAACAGGAGCAGCCATTGCAGATCCTCCCAAGCTGGATGGAGGAAAAAAAACTCAGTCTGGTACAGGTAAGCAGTCTTGGGGTCAGTGGCGTACATACCAGGATCGCGGCTGCGACCGGGCCCGGCCCACCAGTTATGTACCCACTGGGCCAGCCTCTGGCCCTGCTGACACCCAGCAGGCGGGCGCGCGAGGGAGCACTATCCCCTCAGTGCTTCCTCTTCAGCTCCCTCGCACACCGCACTGATACCGGAACCGGATGATGACGTCATCTTCCGGTGCCGGCATCCCTACGCAGCGCGCGAGGGAGCTGAAGAGAAAGCACTCAGGGGAGAGTCCTCCCTCGCGCGCCTGCCTGCTCGCCCAGTGACCGGCCACCCAGGAGCGCAGCAGCACGACTTGACCCCAGGGAATCCCCTCAGCTCTCCAAAAGGTAAGGAGGCTCGGGTGATTAAATTTAAAAAAAAACGTGTGTGTGTGTGTTAGTGTTACTGTGTGTGTGTTAGTGTGGTAGTATGTGTGTCTGCTAGTGAGTGTCAGTCAGGGCCGGACTGGCCCACTGGGATACCGGGAAATTTCCCGGTGGGCTGTCGGCACCTGGGGCCGGGCAGACACCTGGGTCTGCTGGCGGCCGCTGGAGGAGCTGTGCTGTCTCTGCTCCCCCGCCCTGGCGCGCTACTGAATGAGACCGGGGCCGGAAAGTGACGTCATATTCCGGCCCCGGTCTCATTCAGTAGCGCGCAAGGGCGGGGGAGCAGAGACAGCACAGCTCCTCCAGCGGAAGCCATCCCTGCTCTCTGCCCTGCATGACCCCCCTGGCCCACAGGTAATATGTGTTATGCTGTCAGTGTGTGTGTGTGTGTGTGTGTGTGTGTCTGTCTGTCTGTCATGGTGTGTGTGTCTGTCTGTCATGGTGTGTGTCTGTCTGTCATGGTGTGTGTCTGTCTGTCATGGCGTGTGTGTGTCATGGTATGTGTCTGTCTCTGTCATGGTATGTGTGTGTCATGGTATGTGTGTCTGTCATGGTGTGTGTCATGGTATGTGTGTCTGTCATGGTGTGTGTGTCTCTGTCATGGTGTGTGTGTGTGTGTGTCATGGTATGTGTCTGTCTCTGTCATATTGTGTGTGTGTCATGATATGTGTGTCTGTGTCATGGTGTGTCGGTGTGTCATGGTGGGTGTGTGTGTGTCATGGTATGTGTCTGTCTCTGTCATGGTGTGTGTGTGTCATGTTTGTGTGTCTGTCATGGTGTGTGTGTCATGGTATGTGTCTGTCTCTGTCATGGTGTGTGTGTGTCATGATATGTGTGTCTGTGTCATGATATGTGTGTCTGTGTCATGGTGTGTCAGTGTGTCATGGTGGGTGTGTGTGTCGGTGTGTCATGGTGTGTGTTTTTGACATGGTCTGTCTGTGTCATGGTGTGTGTGTGTGTCTGTCTGTGTCATGTATGCGTGTGTCTGTCGTGGTATGCGTGTCTGTCATGGTGTGCGTGTGTCTGTCATGGTGTGTGTGTGTGTCTCTGTCATGGTGTGTGTGTGTGATGGTGTGTGTTTTTACTCACTTTTATTTTTTTCCCACGCCATGCTGGTCTCCCCTCGACTGGCCTTGCCTCTATGGCTGATAGGATTGGCTGCAAAACGCTACACCAATCAGCATCTCCTCATAGAGATGCATTGAATCAATGTATCTCTATGGGGAACCTTCAGCGTCTCCAGAGCGTGGAGGCCCTGAATGTAGGTGCTGCACACTGTGCAGCACTGACACAGAAAGCACCTCTAGTGACCGTCTGAGTGACTGTCACTAGAGGTGTCACTCTGAAGCAATGTAAACACTGCGTTTTCTCTGAAAAGTCAGTGTTTACATTGAAAAGCCTGCAGCGACAGGCTATAGACACCAGAACCACTACACTGTGTGTGTGTGTGTGTGTGTGTGCACGCCTGCTAGTGAGCTTGCTTGCTTGCATGTATGTGTGTGTCTGCTAGTGAGTGAGCTTGTGTTTTTATGTCAATGAGCTTATGTATATCAGTGAGATTGTTTGTCTATGAGGCTGTGTATCAACGAACTTGTGTGTGTCAGTGAGGTTGTCTGTGTTTGCATGTGAGTATGCTTACTGTATAATTAAAGGTTTTACTATGAAAGGACCAATATTTTATATTAGAAAAGGCTATATATATATATATATATATATATATATATATATATATATATATTACTCAATCATCTGGGGTGGCAAGACATAGCCTTACATATTACATGCGACAATATATGGCGCATTGACTTACGGGGCTGGCATATATTTTTTTTCCAGGACTGCTTTGTATCCCCAGTCCGGCCCTGGTGTCAGTGAGTGTGTCTGTTATCGAGTGTGTGTCTGCTAGTGAGTGTTAGTGAGTGTGTTACTGTGTGTGTCTGTTACTGAGTGTGTTTGATGTCTGTTAGTGAGTGTGTGTTTGTCAGTGAGAGTGTATGTTTTGTAAGTGAGTTTATATGTATGTCTGTCGCTGAGTGTCTCTGTCAGTAAATGTGTGTGTCTGTTAGCTAGTGTGTATGCGTCTGTTCGTGAGGGTGTGTGTGTCTTCAGCATTTACCTTTCTCCAGCGCCGGACTCCCTTGGCGCTGAGGATCCCTCCGCCTCTCAGCTCTGAA